AATTTTAATAAAAAACTTTGGCTAGTTCATGGGCTTGGATTAATATTAAAATAAGAATAAATTAATATTATTTTATATAATAGTTTACTATTATAAAAATAGCATTAATATATTATTTCTAATATATAGTAGGTAATAGGCCAATAATAAAATTCATGCTAATTTTAAAAAAAGGGTAATTTAGTTTTAGTAGGGTAAATAGTTTTTTATAGGGTTGGTGTCAAGGCGCCATGGTGTATTAATATATAAGGTATAAATAGGTAAAAGTTTTTATTATAGCTTTTATTTTTAGCTAAAAAAACTTTTATTTTACCAAAGATTTAGTTTTTTATAAACCAAAATGTCCTACTAAAAAATTATTATAATATACTTAAATAATTATAGTTTTAAGCCTTTAATTTAGTAAAATATAAATTTAATCTTAAAAAGCTAGTAAATTACTTTTTATAATTAACTAGTTTTTAAAACTTAATTTTTTAGCTTCTTTAGCCTAATTTTTTACTTTTAAGGCTTTAATTTGCTTTTAAGTCTAATTATTTATAAATTATAATATTAAAAGTAACTCTGTTAAATAATCTAATATATAATTAAAGTAAATATTTTTAACTAATATAGTATTTTAGACTTAATACTAGGCTAAAACCTAATTTTTTTTAAGGTTAGACTATATATTTATAATACCATGGTTTTTAAAATTAAGATTTAACTTTGTTTTGTTTTAAAAATAAAAAAATTCCCTAAAAATATTAGAGCACTTGTTACACCTAATATTTTAAATTTAAATATCTTATTTTTTATCTAAATTAAGCTTTTTTTTATAAAGACTTTATATTAAGTCTAGGCAAGTAATTATTTATACTTTAATACCTTATACTATTTTTTTTTTAATAAGTGCTAAAAAATCTTTTTTTAAGACTATTTTAGTCTTATTTTTATACCTTTTAAATAGGGCATTTACAGGGTTATACTTACCTAAATAATATAAAATTTTAAAGTTATATACTACTAGATTTATATATTATTTTACTTGCTTTTTACTATACTTTTGCTACTGCATAAAGAAACAAAGATTTATATAATTTAACCATACTATTATTTTATAAAAAAAACCTTTAAGGTATTATCTTTAATAACAAAATAACTAAATAATGGCAAATAGTTTCTTATCTAGGATTAACTAATTAATCTTTACTTTAATAAATTTATAAGACTAAAACGTAACTAGATAATATTTTCTTGTATTATCTAGTTAAAAATATATTCTAGCTATTCCCGTGTTACTAGCATCCACTTTTAATTATTCTTTCCGCATAGGGTTAAAATAATGTAATAAAGGGGCTTTTATAAAGGTATTAAAAAAAAATTAAAACACTAGCTTTTTACACTTTTAAAATTATAGGGGCCTAATTTTCTTCCCATGCTATATTCCCTTTATTAAACTAGTTAATAATAAAATAATTCGTGCAAAATTATAAATAAAATAATAATAAAAATTAATAAAACCTAAAAAGAATTATAAGGCTTTATAAAAATAAGGTTCTTTTTATAAGGTTATAATAGTTACTTGTTCTAGGTTTATTTTAACACCGTTTTAATTAACCATAAAACCTAGAAATTTTACCTTTTTTTTAAAAAAGGTATATTTTTTTAAATTAGCAAATAATTTAGCCTTGCGTAACTATTTAAAAACTTATTTAATATACTTAACATGTTGCTTAGGGTTAATAAAAAAAATTAAAATATTATTAAGGTAAATAACATAAATTTAATTTAAAATATCATAAACTATAAAATAAATATAACTTTAAAAAGTAGCAGGAGTATTAGTTAAACCAAAAGGCATAATAATATACTTATAGTAACTATATTAATATTAAAAAGCTATTTTTTATTAGTTTTCTTTACAAACCTGGATGTAATAATAGGCATTTTTTAAATTAACTTTAATATAGCGGGTTGCTCCCAAGATCTAGTTAAAAATTTTTAAAATAAAAAATAAAAGGTATTAATTTTTAATTATTATTTTATTTAACCCTTAATAATTAACACATAATTATAAGCCTTTATTTTTTTTAGGCATAAAAAGAATAGGTGCTCCGGCAGGACTTTTAAAAGGTTTAATATAACTATATTAAATATTTTTATTAATATACTAGTATAACATGGCTAATTTAATAAGTAAAAAAGGGTAGATTAGCCCATAAAAAAATAACTAGCTATTTATTATTATAATATCATGCGTAGGTACTAACTTTAAAAACATTATTTTTACACCGTGTAAAAAAAATACATTTTAAAATATATTAAGTTTAGGTAGTAAATTATTTATTTAATCTAACTTGCCGCTGTTATAAACTTTTTTAGGTAAAAAAATAATAGTAAATATATAAGCTTAATTTTTACAAGCTTTTATAAACTTATATTATTTAAAAATTTAGTGTTTTACTACTTTGTTATTAAACTATTATTAATTTACTATTATATAAATATACATAGCTTAAATAATTATAATAAAAAAAATAATTAGGTATTTAACTTTAGTTTGCTTAATTCCCACATAAGGCTATTTAAATATTTTTATAATGCCCCTAAAATTAGTAACTTTAATAGGTACTTTTTATACTTTTTTTAAATTATCTTGCTAACCGCTGTATCCCTTTAAAATAAAATAAAAAAGTTTTACTTAATTTAAATAAGCATGCTTAATAAATTTTATACTTATTATATTTACCTTTACTTTAATATTTAAGTCTGCCCTGGTTTTAATCTTATCCCGCGGAGCTTTTACTATTATTTTTATTTAAAAATNTTTTTTTTTTATATATTTTACTTTTATTTTAATTTATATACTTACCTTCTTGCTAATTATCTTGCTTTTTTTTATAATATTCTTTATTTTAAGGGTTTTTAACTGCTATTTTATAAACTTTAGCAGTTTAATTAAGATTTACTAATTAAAAGTTAGGGTTTTATAATAGTTTTATATAGTTAGGTATAATATAACTAGGTTTCCCATACTTAAAACATGTTATAAAAGTTAATTTTAATTAATCCTGGTTTAGTACTATTTTAATATAACTTTAAAAGGGTTTTATTATGCTAAAAGCTTATTTTATAAGTATTTTATTATAACTTTTTTTAAAAGTTTATCCTATAAAATAACTTTTTTCTTAGGTTTCCCTACCACGGGTAAATTTATGTTAATTTTTTTTTAAATTAGTGGTGTTTTTTTTTTATTTAGCGAGTTTTAATTATTTATTATAATATAAGGTAATGTAAGGTTATAAATATAATATACAAAATTAATACTATAAGGTAAGTTAAACTAGGTATTTTTTAGTATTAAAAAGTTTTATATTATTAAGATTATAAATTTTGTTTTAAAGTAAAGGTAAAAGCTTGTTAAAATAATATTAAATCTGTATTTTTTTATTATTTCTTAAAAAATACTATTTTAACATGGCTAAATAATTAGTAAAATCCCTAGAATCTTGGTTTTTTTTTTAACAAGCTAACTTTAGTTTAACTATAGTATTTAGTAAACTAATTATTAAACTCCTTAGGATTATAGCTATCTATTTTTTAAAGTATTTTTAAAAAAATCCCTAATATTCCTTATTTATACCCTTTAATTTATTAGCATGTTAAATCTAGTTACTTTTGCATGCTAATTCTATTATAGTTAAAGCTTTTAAAATTTATTATTAATTTAATTTATATTTTCCAGGTGCTTTTTTAAAGTTTAATTTTAAAGTGCCAAGCTAGTTAAGACGTTACTATAGGCTAAAATTAAAATTATACTTAGGTATATTTTTATTTTTAATTTTACTATAATCCTTTAGTAAATTATCCTAATATTAATATTATTTTAAAGGTGCATTATATTTAGCTAATTAATTTTTTAAATACTTAATATATTTTTTTATATCTTGTAATTATTGGGTTACTAGTGTTTTATAAGTATTTTAATAATTTTTTATAGTAGTACTTTTAATAGTTTTAATAATAAAAAATTATTAAGTATTAAAGGGTTTTTTTTAGGACTATTAAAATAGTCCTGTTTAAAAATAAGGCGTGAGTATACTAGCAGCATAGTACATGTTTTATAGGTGGTTAATAAGTAAAAAAGTTAAAATTATAAAAACCTTAAGTAGGCTAACCAGGTACAAAATAAAGTACTAAAAGGCTATTTAATAAGGGATTAATATTAAATCTTAAGGCCTAGAATATATAAAAACTAACTTTTAGCTAACTATTCTTTGCTAGGGCGTTAGCCTTAAATATACTATTAAAATAGTGGTAATATTATTACTACGTGTTAGGTTGATGTTACCATGACTTTTATTTTATTAGTTTCCTTATCTTATCGGGGCTTGGCACCCGTGGGTGTGACAATAAGATAAAAAAAATAGTTTTTAAAATAAGAAACCTTGCTAGCGGGCTGCTAAAGTTCCAGACTAGTTTTTAGGTACTTTTTAATTATAAATATTAGCTAGCTATTTTAGGAAGTAGGGATTAAATAAATTTTATTATAATATTATTATATTTTAATTTAATCTTAAAGCAAGCTATTAAAATTATAGTATAGAATTTAGCCGCGCGAAGCAAAGGTATTTTACCAGGTGGTGTAATAGTGGCTTGTTTCTTTAAGGCAAGGCCTGTTGTTATTACTATTTAGGAGGAAATTATATAATTATCCAAAATTGTCCAAAAGCAGTTAGAGGCCTGTCGTTTTGGCGACCAGGCCTGTCGTTATAGTTCGACCCTGCAGTTTGCCCCAATTTTTGACAGGCAAGGACAGAGCATGCAATTCGCTACTAATGCTCGGTGGCATACTAGACATAATAGTTGGGGTCATGCCTTTCTTGAGACGAGACTTTTAATCGATTAGACTATAGCCACTATACTATATATCTCCACCAGCAGAATGATCACATAACCTTCAACTCCCTCAATTATAACGCCAACCGCTATGTACTTTTATGAACATCTGGTTATATCTACTCAATCTTCCCCTTGTTGACAACAAATCCCTCCAAAGCAGAAATCGCAGCCCATAACCTATTCTCAGCCTCAGGGAAGACAAGCGACCGGTTACTGTAAAAGACCTCGTCACTGACCTCCTCTGGGTGTCGCGGGAGACAGTGCATGAACTTCCAGCCCTCCTTTGCGCCTCCTCGCTTGGCAAGGTCAGCGGTGATTTGGAAACCTTCAAATTCCCTCAGCCTCTTGGCTTTCTCTTCTTCTTGACCCATTGACACCCAGGTGTCTGTGACTAGAATGTCGGCGTCCTTGACCGCTTCTTCGGGAACACTGGTCTGCAGGAGCTTGCCTGGCTTTGAGACACCCTCTCCGGCAGACTTAATGAGCTCCAGCATGTCAGAAGGAATCTCGTAGCCCTTGGGGGTAGCCACAGCAATGTCGATACCCATCTTTGTAGCAGCAATGGCCATGTCGAACAGGACGTTGTTGGCGTCACCAACCCAAGCGATCTTCAATCCTTCCAACCCCAGACTTGAAAGGTGGTGTGCCTTGGGAGTAAAGGCTTCGTATATTGTTTGAAAATCGGCGACGGCCTGGAGAGGATGAAAAGAGTCGCACAAAGCATTGATGACTGGGACGGAAGAATGCTTCGCTAGATCTGCAACTTCTGCATGTTTGCCGACACGGGCAACGATGCAGGATACCATGGACGAAATAACGACAGAGGTATCGTACAGAGACTCGTTGACCCCCAGTTGGATGTCATCCTTGCCCAAGAACATCGGATGACCTCCCATTTGCACAACAGCACCTTCTGTTGATACCCTAGTTCGGGTGCTCCGTTTGCTGAAGATCATAGCCACCGTCTTCCCCAGCAAAGATCCCTGCAAGTTCTGGGGAATTGACCCGGACTTTATGGCTCGCTTGTGTGAAGAGGCATTGCGAACAAGAGTAGCGAACTCGGCAGGCGAGAGGTCCGCAATGGAAAGGAAATGGCGGGGGGCGAAGGGCGAGGTGGGAGGCATGGTTTGCGAGGAGTATGAACGCACGGTGTGTCGCAAGCTCTGGCTCTTCAGTGCGGAACGGAGAGATGCCATTGGGAATGCGAGAGTATAGATGTGGAAGGACTTCTTAAGGGGACGAAGAAATTGGAACAGAGGGAGGACATCCACAAATAATTGACGGGTGATTCGTGAATGACTCAAAAGTCCGCCTCAAAGAGCTTCCGGTTCATTGGTGAGAATCAAGGTTAGCGTCACTTCCGCCCGCCGATCACGGATCACGGCCATGGCTATCGGGCCCTGGTGCTGCTGACGCTTTGAGTAACTCACACTCCTCCATCGTCCTACCGTTTCCTTCCATCATTATCAGCTGCTACTAACGCATGCAGCCATCTTTGCAACTCGCTCATGTATCGATTATTCAGATGAGGCCTCCGACTTGATCATCTCTGGCCTGGTTCGCCGTCTGATCAGCCCTCAACGCTATAACAGCTTCTCCACATTAATCCTCCCCCCACTCCGCTTCTTGATCAGTGAGCGCTGACCTCGGGAGCATAGTGAGAGCAGCTCTCGCGGAGTCGCCATGACGGACGAGGAAAGTCGGTCCCTATTGGGCGAACATGTCAACAGTTCTTCTCGTCAACAAGCGCTATCTATAGGTCAACAGCGTCGCTCATTTGAAGTGTCATCGGAATCAACTCCGCTCCTGCATCGCCGCGATGATGATTTATCGACATATGGTGGCATAGATGTACCGCGGGCTTCCTCTCCAACGCCCGGAATAGTCTCTCCAGCTGGAAAACCGAAAAGACCACGAAAGAAAATTGGATGGACCCTGATATGCGGCCTGCTTGCTGTCGGTTCCATAATCTCAATCCTTATCCTAGCCTTTATTGCCCCCGCGGTTGTAAAGCGATACGTAAGGGAAGCCACCTTGTTCAAACCGACAAACCTCTCAGTCGAATCTGCTACAAGTGAAGGGGTTAGGGCAAGAATACAAGGAGATGTTGTTCTCGACGCTAATCGCCTCGGGAGTGGGTCGGTACGAAATATTGGACGGTTTGTCACCTGGATTGGGAGAGAGGTCGAAACAGGCCAATCTGAAGTATATTTATATTTGCCGGAATACGGAAATGCCTTGGTTGGATCTGCGTCTCTGCCATCCATAAAAATCAACATCCGAAACGGCCATGTGAATCACCTTGATTTCGAAGCCGATTTGGTTGCTGGCAATGTCGAGGGCCTGCGCTCCGTCGCCGTCGACTGGCTGGAAGGAAAGTTGGACCGTCTATTACTCAAGGGAAGCGCCGATCTGCATCTCAAATCAGGTTTACTGAGCCTGGGAGAACAGACTTTGGATCATTCCGTAGTACTTGAAGGTAGGTTCCGCAGCTGTTACCCTACATATTATACTGATACAGTTGTTAGAAGATGACTTCCCATCGCTACCTGCTGTTGACATCACCAAATTCAATGTACACGATGTCGATTCGCCAGATGATGAAGGTGCAATGGCGGTTGATATCTCTGTTTCGACTCTGCTCGGTTCTCCGTTCTCCCTACGCATTCCACCTCTAGGCTTCAAAGCGCTCGTTGCCAACTGCTCACCACGCGACCCCTACATCTCAGTGGCGGATGTTGTAACCAAAGAGATTGCAGTAACCCCTGCTCAAAGCACTGTGGTCGACGTTTCTGGCATCATTCGAGGTCTCTCCGATGAACTCACAGCTAACTGTCCCGGTGAAACGAGGTCGCCTCTCGATACGCTTCTCACGAGCTACATCCACGGTTCTCAAACTATTATTTATGTCCGCGGAGCGGACGTACCTTCATTGGGCACTCCCCAATGGATGACTGATATCCTTAAGACTGTGACCCTGCCGCTATCATTTACGGGACATGCACTGGATAATCTTATCAAGAATTTCACCATGACCAATGTTCATTTCACACTTCCGAATCCTATGGCGGAGCCGGATAGCCCCGATGCTCGACCTACGGTTTCCGCTCTGGTAAAAGTGTTGATTAGCGTACCAGAACAGATGGACTTTGACGTAGAAGTCCCGCGCGTCCGAGCAAAAGCCGATGTTTATTATCACAAAGATAAACTAGGTATTCTCGACCTCAAGGAATGGCAGCCCGCCAATTCAACTCTCATCCGGGATCTTGACAATACCACTGTTCTTCAGGTAAAATTTCCCATGGATAAGGCACCGCTCGAAGTGACCGATGAGGACGTATTGACCGATGTGCTTTCGAGCTTGATATTTGAAGGGAAGTCCATAAGACTTATGGTCTCCGCAAATGTCGATGCGGAGATATCTACTGGTCTCGGGGCGTTCGCCGTTCGCGGTATCCCGGCAGACGGCAAACTGACTGTAAATCGTAAGTTCTATTGTCTATAATGTGGTCTTTTGTTAACACCAATATAGCACCCTTCGGCGGGTCCCCGTCCCGGCCTGACGGCTTGAAACCACAAGTACAGTCTCTCGAGCTAGGGACCACAACGGAGACCTCGCTCCTTGTGAACACCATGGTCAACTTCACAAACCCTACTGAATACTCAGCATCGGTGCCCTTTCTCGACTTACTGATAGTCTACAACGCTACTAGCGTCGCCCATATAACGGCGAAAGATGTCACGATTGTACCCGGTACAAATGCCGGTGTGAATATCAACCTCCAATGGGACCCGCTCGACCTTGGTGGACCGTCAGCTGTCCTTGCTGGTCAAGACCTAATCTCGCGATTTGTATCAGGTAAGTCGGCTATTTTTCTTGTGTCATGGGTCCAAGAAGCTCGTTTTGTTGACTCTGATTGTAGGCCTCAACACCTCTGTAACGATGAAGACCCACCAAGGAACTGTTCCGGCATTACCAAGACTTGGACAGGCTTTGTCCAGGCTAGGATTCGAGGTACAAATGCCTAAATTAACACCCGTTGGGAATCCCGACGGTGATCCAGGCCAACCTGGCCGTGACGATGGACATAAGGGCTTCATACAGGATGCTACGGTATTATCTACCTTCCTGGAGACCGTTTCCCACGCTGAACATACCGTTTGATACACCATACGTATATATATTGAACACCGTCCTGTGTCCGTCATCGTATAGATTTTTTTCACACGCATGCCGGCCTCCCGATAGAAAAAACAAAGAACTAACTTCCGAGTGCTCCTAGCTGCACCTCTGGTCATCAACAGCCGAGTTCGCGCTCTTTTCGCCACTAAACCATACAATTCTGGAAATTACATCGATAGAAGCACAAGCGTTCTACGAACATGACCACGAAGTCGGCGCTATCAACTACTACACTGCTTTCTCTATTCCGCCTGGTCTCTCTCATTCCCCGCGGCTCCCCGTCGAGTTAAATCTAAGCGGCATCGGATACGATGCAGTCAAGAGGGCTGTTGGTGGTACGCTGGACTTGGATACCGTGGCTAAGGTGGGAGTTCGGATAGAAAATTATAATAACACGGTCAATTATCATGGGAAGGGCATTAAGGCGAAGGTTAAACTGTGACTTTGGCTTGGGTTTGTTCAAAGAGCAGATATCTGCGTCGCCCCGGCTTTTCTAACGGCGTATTTGGTGTTCATGGCGCTGGGACTAGCACCCATGGAAAGAATGTGATTGTCTGTGGCTTGCCCTGGGAGCACGAGTGGTCTCATTGGCACGGTTGTAGTAGAGTAGAGTAGTTCAATTAATCGTTCATTTTTTTCTTTAGCTTTGCATCGTGATTAACTATAGTTAACTTTGCTTGAACGTCAGAATATACTGTAGGTTTAATATTCTATATTCCTGCTACTCTAATCATTCACAAGAAACATAAGCCGTGGTCGCTTGAGTATAATAGCAAGACATGAGAAGCAAGAAACAAGTTAAATATCCCGCGAAGAGTCAGATAGGTCCAGTCCAATGCCTTGGATATCAATCATCAAACACACAAGAAACAAGCACGCAATGTGAGCCCAGCCATTTCATTTGCCCATGGATTCTCCGTGACGCCAGTCCCCAACTCCTGAATGGAAGATTGTTCGAGTTCATGCAATGGTAGTAATGAAAGATAGTCGGGTATAGTATACGCTTAGTATAAAGCGCGAGGACGTTCATGTTGTTACCGCTGATGCGACTGTTGTTGTTGTTGTTGCTGTGGAGCCATTGTCCCGTCGTACCTTGCTCTTTTTGGATCATTGAAGCCAGGGGCAGAAGTAGGCCCGTCCCCGCCGGGTACGGAAGCATTGGTGACGTCGTTCAGAGGAGGTCGTTTTCCGTTCATATTCGCGGGCCCGAATCCACTCCGATTGGCAGCAGAAACGTTGTTTGGTGCAGCAGTCTTAGGGTCAATATTCGGCCGTGTTAGGGGACGGTAGGAGGATGTAGATGGACCTCTGTTCATGGGACTGCCGGTTCCACTGCCGCCTGGTGCGCCGAGCTTTCGATGCATGTCTGAGGAGGGATTGATGAAGTCGCGAGTTTGGTTGGGCGCTGGGGAGGTGCTGCCGGTTAGCATTGGTTTAGAGATCGGTACGCTCTTGGTGTGGTCGACGCCTGCCGTTTTGCGAATAGATGGGCTTTCTGCATGCGGGTCAAATGCTGGAGCAGCGGCGGCCGCGCTATTCGGGTTGTCTCGTAACATATCGACTCCCCGGGCGGAGAAGAATCCAACGACGGGAGGCCCTTGACCACCTATGCCTGGGTTTCCTGTGGCAGCCATGTTTTGCGGTGGTAGATTTTGACGCTTGGCACCAAACTCCTGTTTGATGTGCGCTTGTGCGCCGGGGCCTGCTGTCGTTACCCCATTATTGGCGCGCTGTCCTGGTGGTGGCGGTCTTCCATTTTGGTATCCTCTTTGTGCGTCTGGGGGCGGAACGGATTGCCTCTGGTTCAGACATTGGTTTTGATTTTGGGCTGCTGGAGGGTATGGTCGATTGTTCGGGGCCTGATTAGGGATCGGCCTACCCGCTGCAGCATGATGCATGGGTCTTTCCGGTTTAGACGGCGTGACGACATTGGGATTAGTCCTTGACGGTACGCCAGGGGCATAACTTGAGGGATTTGGTGGTATGCTGGGCCTTGTAATTGGAGTTGGTGGCTGATGTGCCTTGCTGTCTTCTGCCACTATTTCATCCGGGTACTCGCTCTCGCCGACATTGAAGTCGGCCTCATCGAAAACATCACCTGGTGCTGTTAGTGGCTTGATAGAAAAGGCCATATACTATGAGCTTACTTCCAAACTCCGCATCGACATCAGCAGCGTCATTCCTGGATGTGTTCCGTCCAGCGACTGACGGACGAGGCGGCAAATCATCGTCTTCTGGAGGCGGCTTTGGTTGCACTGGCTCCCTCTTGATGGGGGCAAAGTCGGGATGGCGGTGCAGATCATCCACGTCCAACTTCGTCTGCAGAGGTGTCAACGCAGAGGCACGAACAGAGAAGAGAGACCACATACTGGCACTGTCTTCAGTTTCGAAACCTTGGAAATGAAATCCTTGTCGTATACACAGTTACCCAAAACGTTACCGAAATTTCGCAAAGCTCGTTTTAAGGCGTCGGTCGTTGCCTCTTTTTTAGCCTTCTCGAAGGCGGCGGCTTTCCCCTTGCAATTCTCCATATGTCCGTATCCCACATCCTGGTATTGTTAACCATCATGCGCCAAGTCCAGAGCTCCATGGCCGGATAAGGATATTCATCATACCTCGTGGTAAGCTCCATCCTTCAAAGTCACCCTCACTATTACCGATAAGCCCAGACTGACCTTTCCAGTATTCGGGGACTCGTCAACCTAGAAACAGGTGTCCACCGTCAGCAACACACGTCAACATGCAGTGGCAACATCACAAGCATCATAGATCCGGGGAAACTCGTACAAAATCAATCTGAATATTTTGGATCGAACTCGACCACCCGTTGAAGCCAAGCACCTCGTTGGCAAGGCTTATACACTTATCCGCGGCGAGGTAGTGTACTCTAAGGCCCGCCGCTCCAGGTCGAGAGGAGATGTACTCCGGTCCTAACTTCTTCTCAAGGCGTGCCTGAAGCACGGCGACTTCCTCGCGGGTGTATTGATTGGAGCGTGCTGGGGTTTCATTGAATGGGTTTTTGGCGATGACGCCTGTTGCATCTGGCATCGTAATGCTCGTCGGGCTGCCTCGATGTTGGTCGCCAACGCTGAAGACGTGGTACGCGTTAGTTTACGTGGGTTCATTGAGTCCTGGGATGGGCACTGGTAGTAAACTCACGCTGGCATAATTATGTTTATGGATAGGTTAGTCTATGAGAGCTATCATGGGTAGCTGAGATTGTATTGAATAGAGTGGTAGCTCAAGGCACGGGGTGGACGCTCATCTGGCGTGGAGACGCGTCGGGATACCCTGCTGTGCCGCGAAGTCACGTGCATACACCAAGCAACAGGATCTCAAGATAAACCAGGAACGATCAACAACCAAGCTGTACAAACGGTTTACGATGGCTACAAGTAGAGGATTATCTTGACAGCCGTGGCCAAATTCGACGAGCATATTTCATCTTGGGGCATCCATTTATCGTGATGTTCTAACCTCTCCAGCTAGATTAGTTTTGATCCAATACTTCAAGATGAGCGCCAAGACTATTCGACGACAAGACTCGCGCTAGGTACGAGTCCAAGATCTTTCAGTGACTCGCCGTAGAACTCAGAATTGAACACCTTCCTTGGGAAGTTTTGGCGAAAGCCGTTGACCTCAATTCCGTCTTCTGTCTTCAGCGCCGAGACAACCTCAAACAGTGTGATATCGACGGGCAATGTTTTCATGATATTCCCCTTCGGTGTCTGGAAACGGAGGCGAGTCTCTGTGTAAGCAGAGGCTGGCTTGGACGCGACAGGCCCGGACGTTGTAGCTGCTGGCCCAGCGGCTGGTTGAGCAGGGGGCGCGACCCCGGCCCGTTCAGCCTTTTCACGCTCAGCCCTTAGTCGACGCTCCTCCTTATCCGCTTCGATTCTGGCCTTAACACGGCGTTTAGCTTCGATATCATCCTGCTTTTCTTGCTTCTTCTTGGCAGCTTCCTTGATCCTTTGTTTTCTCTCGAGCTCCTCCTTGGCGTCTTGGGACTCCTTGGTAGCTTTTCTTCGAATCTCCTAGACCATGACCGCGTATTAGCAATATTCGAGATCGGACCTGTAGCTTCCATTATACCTCATTTCGCTTCTTGTCAACCTTGTCCTGTTCTGATTGGCCAGCACGCTTAGCTGCTAGCTTCTCCCTAAGCTCTTGGAGCCTGGCTTTCTTCTCCTCCTCCGTTAACGGCGCCACCTCCTCTGTCGACTCCGAGAAATCAACATGCTGAGTTTTCGAGGCGTGAAACTCGGCTTGGGCGTGGCTTCGGAACTTCTTTCCGCATTCATTGCAAATCAAGCTTTGGGCTTCTTCGCCGGGTTTGAGGGTTGGCCCTTCTTCTTCGTGCGCTTCGACCCCGGCCGTAATCTCTTCAAGCGACTTGTCCTGGTTTTGTTCGAGCCATTCAAGAGCCCCTTGCACTGTACGTATATAGTAAGTACTAGCGGTTACACTGTGAAGGATGGCTTGAAACTCACGCCCACCGCTTTGTTTGACCGCTAACTCAGCGCGAGCTCTCTCAAAGCCCATCTCAATGAGCTGATCTAGATCTGACGTAGTCATGACTCTAGTTGGCAGATAAATCAATAATTCGGGACGTGGTCTAACTGTTGTGGTGGCTGGTTGTGAGGTGTTCTGTGAGTGAGAGTAGATGCGGAGAAAGAAAGTGTTGGCAAGATGGCCGTGGCCCCGTTGTAGGGTGACGTATCGGCGTCCGCGGAGGGCCAACTGCGGGATGGGCCGCTCGATCTATGCCCCGGCCATGGCCCCCATGGCCCATCCATCAACAAAGCCCAGGCTAAACCGGGCTCATGCCTTCAGAAAATGTCAATTAGTGCCGACCGGAACTATCATTACTTGCAATGGCATATTATAAGCTCCCCCATAGAGTGATTCTCTTCATTCGCATTAGAACTCGTGTCTACGAAAATGGTGCATGGTGCCAACTAGTACAGTGTACTACTATTTGGTGTCCTATGCAAGTCTTAGATTCAAACAGCTAATATAAACAACCATCCAGTGCTTCAACGTTGTCTAGAGCATATTAGGAGAACTTGGGGTCACAATTGTACTCCATAGACTTCAGCTTTTGGTACATTCACAACATCTGTTGGGTGTTTGCTGTAACAGTCAGAAATTGAGTAGAGCAAATGTGCACCACATCACCCGATAATTCTAGAAGACCTCAGTAGCGGACGTGGAAGAGCCGAAATGACCGATGTGTATACGATGACGGTAATCGCGAATGGTGCCATATGGCAAGCGACGCTCTCCCACAGAAGCCATCCCGTTTCACATGTTCAGGAACCATATCTAAGAACCGCTTTTGCTTCGCCGAGGATGTCGAACTCTCAATCAGAGCAGTGATAGTACCATCATGCAGCCACAGAACTGCCTGGGGAATGACAGAGTATATGCTAGCAGAGCAAAGTCATAATCCTGCAAGCTGAAAATCAAGAGAAGCGAACTTGAAGGATCACGAGCACGCTGGCAGTGATGACTTCACCCGGCAGCAGGCTGAGTCAGCGATCCGGCCCAACCAGCAGCCGCGACTCTCTTCCCCCAGCAATTAATTTGGTTGCGCCTGAACTCCGGTGTCTGGCTTCAAATCACAACTTCCAGCGCTGCCTATCTCCAACTCCTGTACCCATTTTATCGATATTCCGCTACCCTGACTCCATTATCCCGCCGTCAGGTACCACCGTTATACCGAGTCTCGCTGCTGCTCTCTCCTTGTCCCAAACTACTCGTCTATCTTGGGCTGATTCGCCCTGTGAAACGACCACCGAATCTTCGTGCCGTCTTTCCACACTGCGGACACCCATCACCCTACATTCACCATGTCCATCCTCCTCGACCCCCCAGACCTTGGCTTCAAGCGTACGTTCAGGGATTAGTTCTCGATTCGTGATCCAGGCGGGCGTACTGACATGCGAATCAGGCCCCTTCAACCGTGAGATATGCCAGGTGTTACACCTCACCAATAACAACCCGGATGCCGTCGTCTTCAAGGTATGCGCTCCCTACACTCTTGCGCAATACATAATTTGTTTGCTAATACTATGTTGCATGGAACAGGTCAAAACCACTGCCCCTAAACAGTGCGTGATAATCCCTGCCCGCTATGCAATCGATTACCTTCTAAACTTTCAACAGTTATTGTGTCCGACCAAACTCCGGAAGGATAGAACCGGGAAAGCATGTGGAAGTTCAGGGTATGGCTCCGTAACTCGTTGCTGCGGGGCATCATAGTTGATGAGGTGAACAGTGTTGTTGCAGGCCATGAAGGACGAACCAGCCCCGGACGCCAAATGCAAGGACAAGTTCCTGGTCCAAACGGTGGCAGTCACCAAGGATATGGAATTCGCTAACGTCAGCTCCATTGTACGTATATGCGATTCAATGCTACATATCCGTTTTCTAATCGGCTTACAGTTCGAGAAAGCCACCAAGTCAGCCATCCAGGAGCGCAAGATACGAGTAACCTGGCTCGCCGCCGACGAACCTTCAATCACACAGGAAGATACCAATGGCACGGTAAGTCTAATTTGTGTCTTGACCGAGTCCTTGGTTTGGCTCACTAAGGCCTATCGCATATAGAACGCCCAGGATGATGAACCTCCCTCCTACTCTTCACCCAAGGGAGAATTTGAGACTCCCGCTGCCGGGCTTTCGAAGAACCCGAACGCCACGTCGCCCATCCCTGCTCCGGATTTCAACGAGAGCGTCAAGCGGGAATATCCCACTCCACAAGTGTCTGAAAACAAGGCAGCGTCAGCGAAGTCTTCTTCTGCAAGCAGCGTAAAACAGAATGACTACGAAGCGCGGCTGTTGGAAGCAAATGCGCAAATCCAGCGCCTGAAAGATAAGCTCGCAGACCAGGGTTTGCGACAGAGGAAGATTGGGGGTGAGAGCGAAAAGTCATCGGCAGGCCTCGTGCAGCAGGCCCAGGCAGTTGAGGCAGGCGTGCCAGTAAGAATCGTGGCAAGCTTATGCCTGCTGAGTTTCTTGATTGCGTATTTCTTCTTCTAACTTCTCTTTGTTTCCTTTTTTTTCCGTTACCCAAATACCTATTTCCTACTTTTACTGCAAACCGCCTGTGTTCATCTCGAGCCGCCTATCATTGATTTTTCGTTTGTTCACACCTTATATCAAACTCTTTTTCTTCTCTTTTCTTTTATATGCTTCACGAAGTTCGCTTCGAATACTATGACTTCGGCAGCGTTTTGATGACGCGTCGACTTCAAGACACAATGAAAACAACGAACGAGGCATGAGAGTTGGGAGGCAAAGTCGGCAAGACTGGTGTCGAGAGGGTCTTTGACGAAGGTGCTGAGCAATTCGCTACATCCATTATCGATATGTAGCCTACAGGCCGACCTCTCTTGCCTTTTGAACCCTTTCTCTTCGCATTACCGTTGGAACCTGATGTGGATATTTTTTCTTCCCGGCGAGCATAGGCCTAGACGAACGTACGTGTTGATTACCAGGCAGTGATAAGTAATGACGATGGAGCTACCTCATACCCTGGGGCGTATACCGCTAACTACGGAACAAGCATTGTCATACATAGTTGTATCACCTGTGGATTGCAACTGCACTTTGAAATCATAGTGTCAATTCTAAGTGGTAGTGAGTATTTCGAAGTATTCCGGGATTTACGCCGATCAGATGATAACGATATCATCATAATTTCTAGTATTGCAAAGGCACACTCATCATTTAGCGTACATACCAGCGCGCGCCAAGGATACAAGTATACCATACCCCCATCCAGTCCAATTATCAAGGAGATAAAATTTTTAGAAAGGGCTGGGGGGGTAAAATTACTGGATTAAATCAATTTTGAATCTCGCTCTCCTTCCACCCGTCCTCACCGGCCTCGTCGGGCCCAGCAGAGATGCCCTCGCCTGCGCGGCCGGTGGTAGTGGCACTGCCGTTACCACCACCACCGACAAGTCGACCGCCCTGTTCTCTCTTGACGCGGCACCAGGGACCGACATTCTTGTCTAGGATGAAGGTCCAGATAACCCAGACCCAGCTCCGGTGGCAGGGTAGAGGCTCGTAGAACTCACTAGCGATACGGTGGAGAGTTTGGAGCTTTGTCCACGGGATAGCAGGGAAGTCGTGATGTTCATTGTGCAGGCCCACGTTGTAGGTCAGAATATTGAGGGGCCCGTAGTAGGAGTATGTTTCTGGAGGCGGCAGGGAGGAGAGGGGGTGTTTCTCACCCTTTTCTCCTTTTAGTTCCTGCAGCGACTCGGTGCCGTGGTTGATGTTTGAAAAGAAGTAGTGTTCCGCAATGAAGTGCCCTGCGCAGGGGTGGAGAGATCCAGCGAGAAAGGAGCTGAGAAGGAGGTAGAGGACTGGGCTGAGTGAGCCGTTGCTGGCCTTTGTAAGGGCGTAGTCGAAGGATAGTTGGACGAAGAGGTTTAGTAGGTGGATGATTGTGAAGGGCGGGCTGTAGATGAACATAGGGCGGACAGCGTAAAAAAAGATCTGGAAGGTGCAGAAGAAAGCCTTGCCGAGGAGTGAGTCGAGAACGAAGGCTTCAAATGCTGTGGGAAGATCAGTGTCGAGGCCGGCGACGCCGAGGGATTTGTGGTGAGTGAGGTGGTAGGGCTGGTGCGGTCCGTCAGCTTTCTCTCTTTCGACAAAAGTGCTTATAGAAGTTGCATACCCTGAAAGCGGCACTATATGGTAGCCCAATGGGAAGGTTGGCAAAGATGGCCAGGACTCTGTTGGCCATGGGCAACCGGAAAGCGAGGTTATGTGATATCTCATGAATGGCGAGGAAGAGGTTCTGGTTCGAGGTGGCTCCAATCACGTATGCCGTTAACCAAAACCGCAGGGAGAAGAACGACGCTTCCCGGAGGAGGTATGCGCAACAGATCTGAAGGGATACAACACCCAGAACCACGTATTTGGTCAATGGCTCTGGTCCGCAGAGCTTGGTTACCTGGTAGATCGTGCAGATTAGCTTTCAGGAACACGGTCACACGCAGATGAAGCGGAGGTACCTCTGGGTGTGCCTTGATGATTGCTTGTCGTCTTGAGCGGTGCGGCTCCTCTGTATACGTCCAAAAGAAGTGGTCCTCGACTGAGGAAGCCCCTGGAGGCGGGACTCGCATTGAGGGCTCCTCATCGTGTTGTTCTGAAGCTTTGCGGAGGTTCTTCGCGGCCGACACGCGGAGCTGCGGTGTAGCCGAGGTGGCAACTGTCGACGCCATTGTGGGAGTAGGAGAAGAGGGGGGATTGGGGATGAAAGATGAGGTCGTAGTAGTTTTCTAGGCCATCGAATGTAGTGAAAACAGACAGTTGGTTTACAAATATAGAATCGAGAGCCAAAGGTGGTTCGATTAGAAACTGAAACTTGGGAGACGAGTCTCGGAATCTTTGCCTTCCACGTGGGGCGCGCCAACCGTGGGAATGGGTCGATCTACAGCTCTGTGCAAAGTTATGACACGCAAATGTCTGTTAATTTAGTTCGTTTTTGCTTCGTACTGCTTTATATAAACCATGTAAAGTTTATGCGTCGTCCAAAAATCATGGCCAAGGTGCTCACTCTCTAATAGTCGTCTCCACGGCTAATAACCTCTTTCACGGTAGGTCGGAGCACAATCGTCTGTAATTAGGGTTAGTCTATAGGTTAACAAAGTAGACTCTGGAAACATACATGTTCATATTGGGCAGTGTACGAGCCCTTCGTATCACAGAGAGGGGGATAATCTTGGACAATTCCCGATTGAACCAGGTTGTTCAGCTGGAAAGATATTAGCCAGAAATTGATTTGGAGGTGCAGCAAAACTTACACCGAGAAGGTACTTGTCCTGGCCAAGTCGGTCAAGGTAACGACGGCACCAAGGCAGAGTGCCAAAGTTCTTGTTAATGACGTTCAAAAGGTTCTTTGCCGAGGATAAACGCAAAGGAACTTGAGGAGCATTCGGGACCAGCGCATAGTGAGAGGTTTCCATCTGATAAACATGAGTTTCTGAAATGGCGGACGAGTTCTGGAGCACTTACATCCTCTCTCACGTAGCCCTTTCCGGTACTACCGAAGGTCTCAATGGCGAAAACTTCGCCTTCCTCCATCTTAGTCTGGTCGGAACCCTTCACAATGGGGACACTCTTGCCACCGTGGATAACGTGCTGGTCAATGTTATGGCCGTTGAGGTTACGGATAGGTTTGATAGGATACGTAGTCCCGTTCAGCTCAATCTCGTAACTCTCCATAGTTTCTTGGATGGCGGCACCAATATCACTCATGCGGACATCAATTCCAGCCTCGCGGATACCGGTGTTCGTAGCGTCCTTGACTGCCTCAAGAAGAGGGTCATAAACGGGATCGAAAGACATTGTAAACGCACTGTCGACAATACGACCGTTGATGTGCGCTCCGAAGTCGACCTTCATCACATCACCCTGCTGCAACACCATCTTGTTGCCTGCATTCGGGGTGTAGTGGGCGGCACAGTGGTTGATACTCAGACCACAAGGGAAACCCATACCACCCTTGATGTTATCACCCTCCTCAAGACCCTGGTGGCCAGTCAAAGCACGGACGGAGTCCTCAATGCCCTCCGCGATTTCCGTCAACGTCTGGCCAGGTTTGATGTTCTTCTGCGCATACTGGCGGACCTGGCGGTGGACCTCGGCACCCTGGCGGTACTCCTGCAGGAAGTCATTGTTCATGCGGTCGAGGTAGCGCTTCTCTTCGTTGGTTGTGCGGAACGAGTTCTCGTTCAGGTACTCAACAATCTCGCCCTCAGGGTACTGGCCGTTCGGAAATAGGTTCGACACAGGGACACGAGGAGGAGAGCTCTGTACTTTGGCGCCTCCCTTCTTCTTCTTCTTTGACTTGCGCTTCTTCTTCTTCTTCTTGGCGGCTAACATCCGTTGTTTCTGGTCAGCGGGGATATGTTGAAATAGACCGCGGGGGAACCGGAGTCGGGTCCATGCATACCTCCGTCGGCGGCACCCTCAGCACCTGCGTTGGCATCATCTGCATCGTCGTCCGAGTCGTCCTCCGCCTCTCCGGCTTCCGCTTGGGCCGCTTTCGCTGGGACCGCGGCGGAGTCGCCATTTTGACCGTTTACTGGGAGATATGTCATTCGGCCTGATAAACAATAAGAAAAAAGCGGGACAAGCAAACTCACGGTCAAGCTTCTCTAGCTTCTCACTAGTCTGGGCAGCCATGGTGAGAAGATAAGCTGGGGCTGAAGAGACAAAAACTAGGCTGGTATGCGGTCCTCGTAAGAGAAAAAAATAGAGCGGGGAATTGCCGATGAGATAATGAGGCGCCAAGCCTGGCCACGGCCTATACTTTTGGGAGAAGCAGAGTATCTACAATTAAGCCCGAAATGGTTTAAAGAAGTATTACGGAAGATTTACTGTCTGGTGCCGGTTTAGGCTCATAGTACTCGAGGTGTAGCCCGTCCATGTGCACGAGTAGGTCTCGGGCGCCACTCCGCACAATCTACTGCGTCTATCTATAGAGCAGGATGGATCATGGATGTAAGTCCAGCCTCAGCAGGCCAGCTTTGTGTTTTAACATCATATGTAATAAATAAATCAGAACCATTCATTGAGCAATCTGTAGCCTCATCGCCTATCAAGTGTACTCCCAATAGCATATCCGCCATACTTCCATACCTCAGAAAACTGAAACTCGCGCACCGATGACGCACTACGTCCGATAAGCGGCCGACGCCATCTCGGGAAATGTATTCCACTCCTTCTTTCTATCAACTATCACACTCAATTCACGAACTTTCTCCTCTTCCACGCAATTACATAAAGGCATGCCGTTTCCTCGCCCTTTGAGGACGCCGATATCCCAATTCCTCCTTGACAATTCTCACTTTCACCAAAACACCCTGCCTCACGAGTACATCTCCTTTCCTACCTTCAACGTCCACAGCTACGGACATAGACGCAGACATAGATATGACATTGGCTATGGATACACGCAGAGGACAGCCTTCTCAACAACGCGACCTCAATATTTCGCCTCGTCCCGAGAACCAACCCTCTACGAAGTCCTCGATGTCCCCGTAACAGCCACACCAGCCGAGATCAAGAAGTGCGTTACCACCCCAAGCTCCCCAGAACTGTGTCGGCCAGCTATGTATTAACCCAACCTACTAACGTATTCCATTCAGGAATTTCTACGCCCTCTCCCTCGCCCACCACCCCGACCGCAACCCCAATGACCCCAGCGCCTCCGGCCGCTTCGCAAAGATCTCCTCCGCCTACCAAACCCTCAGCAACAGCACGAAACGCGCGACCTACGACCGCGACCACGGAATACACTCGTACTCCTCACAGTCCACGCATTCCACCGCAACACCAGGCCAACATCCCATGGGCAGCCACAGCAGCCACGGCGCATCATACTTCGGGTCGCGGCCGGCAAGCGGGTTAAGTAAACGGCGGGGTCCGTTCAGGGGCCCCCCGCCGAGCTTCTACGCGCACGGCGGGTACGGCAATAACAAAGGGAGACGGGCGCCGTCGGGGGCAGGGGGTTACTATTCGTCTGGTGGTTCGGCCGGTGCTGCGGGCGGCGCCGGCGCGAAAGAAGATGATCCGACTGGGTTCATTGACCGTAATAACGTTTTGCATTTCAATGCGCGCGGGCATTATCGAACGCAGACGGCGGAGGATGCGCGGAGACAGGAGAGGCGGTCCAGGACCCATGCGGATATTAATGAGCAGTATATAGGCAGTCGCGGCGACTTTGCTTTGCGGTTTATTGCAGTTTCAAGTATATTGGTAGGTGCGGGCGTAATAACGGGGTTCCTCCGATGGCCGAGCAGCACCAGCAATGAGAAGTCGCACAAAACGAAGTATTCAAGAGTGAAGGACGGCTGAGAATATACATGTGCGGGTTTACCCTTTGTTATAGGCGCATTTGCCGTACTTGAACTTTACATAATTTCCATAGAGTGGCGCTGTTAGATACACATCTTCAATCTGCGTTTGGGAGGCGAGATATACCGTGTGCGAGCGCGTCCAAGATGCCTATAAAGGTAGCGGCAGAACATAAAAACTTAGTCCTATTGATATACAGTTGTCGCCAATGATTACGGTACATGATTATTACCCTAATATCTAGATATCGCGGTCCACCTAACCTATCTTGCCGCCCCTTATATACAATTCGCATAATGGAGGGAGAAAAAGGCTTCGGCAGGCCCTATCAACAAAAAGGCGGAAAGGAAGTTGCTTAAGCCTCAAAGGTGAAGCTGGCGCCAACCTTGTGAGCAGCCTGGTTAAGGTTCTGGGTATCGAAAGAAGCACCAAGGCCGAGGGTGACACCAGGGCGGAGGAGAACGTTGTAGGCCAGAGCGGCAATACCACGGTCGTTGATCTTGACCTAAATGGAGAGAAAGGTTATTAGATCCGCGGGATTCGAATTTTTGGGACCGCGATCACTTACCTTGGCGAAGGAAGAGGGGTCGAGTCTGTACTTGCTGGCAACCTCAAGGCCGACGGAGTTGCCGGTCTTGGAGTCCCAGGTAGCCTTGGCACCAGCCTCAACCTGAGCGTTGACGCGGTGGTAGTAGCTGGCGGAGAAGACGGTCAGGTTGTTGGCAGCCTGGATGGCAGCAGAGTACTGGGAAACGCTGTAGCCGACGGCAGCGGAGTACTTGGTGATGGCGGCCTTCTGGACGTCATAGCCACCCTCAGCACCGACGAGGAAGCCCTCGTGGCCGAGAACAGCGTCGAAGTTGGCAGAGGGACCGTTGAGGAGGTCGAAGAAGGCACGGGCGTGGACGTTGGGCTGCTTGAAGTGGAGGTTGAGCTTGGCACCCTTGGACTGCTTAGCAGGGAGGTACTGGGTGATGATCTCAGCCTTGAGACCCTTAGCGATGTTGTTGTCGAGCTCGAGCTTGGTGTCGAGAGCGTTGGCGGTGGTCCACGCCTGGGTGAGGGTGAGGCCTGAGCAAGGAGAGATTATTAGCATCAATCTATGTTCGGCAACCCAAGACGCCAGAATGAGTCTAGTGGACGGTGACAAGCGATGCGATCGTGATATATTAACCACGAGCGCTTTGTCAGGCTTCTTGGGTGTTTTTCGTTTGCGATCATGGGGGCGTTTACCAGTAGGAGCGTCGACGTACTTGGCCTCGAGCTGTTGCAGATTGCTTATTAGCGATAGCTTCAACGAATGATAATGGCAATGAAGACCTACGCTACCGGCGATGGGACCCTCGTGGGCAGACTTGCCCTTCACGTTGAAGGTGACGCCATTGGGGGCCTTGGACTTGACCTCAAGGGCAGCTAAAAACAGCCAGTCAGCTGAGCTCCAGGCCACAACAGGGAGGCCGAATAGGCGGCGACGAAGCTACATACCAGCAGAGCCGTGGTAGAAGTCCTTGTTAAGGAGCTATCGGACAAGTAGTCAGCATTGGAATTCCGCGATTCCTCATCCCATCCACCTAATTCCCTTGCGAAACAAGGTGGGAGAATAGCCAACACAGCACGTACGTCGTTGGCCGCCTTGGCGATGTCGGAGAAAGCAGCAGGAGCAGCCATTATGTGAATTTAGAGAGGTGATGAGACCTTAACGTCAAGGGTGTAAGAACAGAGAGTAGTGGAAGATTTGAATGAGGATAACGGAGGGAGGAAGTCGGGAGAAGATTCAACTCATCAATGAGGGAGGTTGAGTTCGCGTTGCTGGGGCACGGGAAGCTGGACCCGCTGTGATTGGCCGTTGCGGCAAAAGCCGTGAGCAAGGATTCCGACGGTGCCTTAAAACGCCTGGGGCATCCGATCTTTTGACCGAGCTCTATTATTTTCGTCATCTTCCCCAGGCTGCATCCTTTTAAGCTATCTAACTACGACCAGTTGCGTGTTCTGGTACTCCGTACCTCGTCTCTAGATAGAGGTTCAATATGCATCCCCAGATCCTTTCTACTCTGCCCGTACTGGATTCGTGGGTCAAACACCCTTTGAAACAGGCTCAAACAGCACATGATCAGAAGCTAGCCTGAACTCTAAACGGGCAGCAATACACATAAGAGGCTGGCTGGAAGCAACGAAGACATCCATTATTTCACCTTATTCCGTTAAGTTGCCTCAGTATCACGCAGGAGTTGAACAAAACGAACCAGACGCTGGAGACGCCGATAGTCAGAACTCGCTTTGCGCCCAAAAACAAACAATGATCTTGGATAAATCATCTATTCATGCCTCTATATTTCAAACAATAACAACGCGCAATTTTTACAAACCCTTGCTATACAATCATTTATTCGGCGTCATCGTACTTGGCGTTGTGGGTGGCAATGGCTCTGGAAAGAAGCATTAAAGTCAGCACTTGCACGAGGCGATTCATTGTCTTCATATCAACATACCTTCCGCTAGGGTCGCTCTGTTTCGACCATGTAGGGACCCAGCGCTCGACTGTGGATGCACAGTATGGTGGGAAGTGCTCATCAAACATCATGCGGTACCAGTAGCTGTTCCTATGTTAGCTTTCTGATGAGGCAGAAGTTAGGAGCAAAAAAACGTACGCTTCCTTAGTATCAGGGATATCGTCACCCCACTCGGGCTTGGGGTTCTTCATCATCTCGTCGGTGACGTGAAGCTCGGCGTGGTCCTTCAGGCCATCAATCCAGCTGTAGCCGACACCGTCACTGAACTGCTCCTTCTGGCGCCAAAGGATCTTATCTGGCAGGTAGGGCTCGACATCGGGCTCATCGGATGTGTCAAACGCCTTGCGCAGGATGTACTTCTCAATGCGGTCCTTTGTGATCATCTTCTCCTGAGGATCAACGGCCATAGACGTCTCGATGAACGCCTTGTCGAGGAAGGGAACACGGGCCTCCAGACCCCAAGCGGATGTTGACTTGTTGGCTCTGAGGCAGTCTGCCAAGTGCAGGTTCTTCACACGTCGAACGGTCTCCCTGTGGAACTCCTCCTTGTTGGGGGCGGCGTGGAAGTAGAGGTACCCGCCGAAGATCTCGTCACTACCCTCACCACTCAGGACCATCTTGACTCCATATGCCTTGATCTTGCGGCTGAGCAGGTACATAGGTGTGGAAGCACGGATAGTGGTCACATCATATGTCTCCAGGTGGTAGATAACATCTGAGAGGGCGTTGAGACCGTCTTCAATCGTGAAGGTGAGAGCGTGATGCTTGGTTCCCAGAAACTTGGCCACCTCCATGGCGGCCTCAGTGTCGGGGGCACCGGGAAGACCAATGGAGAACGATTGCAGCTGCTGGAAGGAGTTGACCGTGGAAAGCTCGTTCTCATCATCAATACCGACCAGTTCACCGTTGGTCTCGCTCTGAACGCCAGAGCTAGCCTTCTGCGAGCGTAGGGTCTCACGCTGGGCAATTGAAGCGACCAAGCTGGAGTCGAGACCGCCAGACAAAAGCACACCATACGGGACCTCCGCCATCAGACGCTTGCGGACCGACTTGGTGAGAGACTCGCGAATGGCCTTGTAATCGATTGGCGTACTGGGAACGTTGGTCGGGTCCCACCATGAGGGCTGGAAGTAGCGGGAGAATTCACCGCTCTTGGAGTCAAAGACATGACCGGGCGGGAAAGCCTGGACCTTGTCGCAAACTGGGTGCAGACTCTTCAACTCGGAGGCGAAGAAAACGGCCCCAGGAGTCTGAGAGGACCAACCAATGTAGAAACTGCAGATACCGATGGGGTCACGTGCCGCAACAACCCTATCCTGCTTCTTGTCGTACAGAACCCAGGCGAACATACCATCGAGGTGCTTGGGAGCATCGAGACCATATTTCATGTACTAACCCTGTCAGTATCCTCATACCATAACCCTCATCCGCAGCTAATTCATTCGCACATACCAGGGGAATGATGACTTCACAGTCCGAGTGTGTTTTATATTCGTATTCCACATCCAGGGTCTTTCTCACGATACGGTGGTTGTAGATTTCACCGTTGACGGCCAAGGCGAGGGATCCATCGTCATTAACGAGGGGTTGCGCACCGGAGTCTTGAAGCAGAAACAATCTCAGCAAATATCCGGGCGACAGGACGGAGAATCAAAGGGCAAATAGTTTCCTTGACAAGGCTGGGGTACATACCGACACCGACGATACAGAGACGCTCGTGACAAAGGACTGCGGAATCCGGTCAGCACCAACGTTGCAAAATCCCACTATTCACGGCATTGAGTCACTAACCAGTCTTATCGGCGATGAAGCTTCCACCTGTTGCACTGTGTTAGGAATAAACTCTTGTCAAAGAGGGTCCATGACCGCATGACTCACTCCAGTCGGGTCCGCGATGGCGCACACTGCTCCGAATCAGCACAGACCCAATTGACAAGGTAAAGACGCTGTCGAGCAAGGGAGACTTACGCCTTTGCCATGCGCAAAGCTGTAGGCTTGAAAGCCTGCACATCCGGGTGGCTGTCGCGGTGTCCGTTAGCATTGAAGAGCGCGGCGCACAGTTCCCCGCGAGAGATCGGGGCAGAAAAGAGTAGACATACTGGTGGCAGGCGAAGATACCACACATTCTGGCGGATCAATTGAGTACCACAGGGATAAATCGAGTGTCGGGACTGTTGGGAAGCCCAATTGAGTATGAAGGAGGAGTGTGAGGTAGGTGATTAGATCCAGATATCTATCGGGGGGCAGGGGATTTTTTAAATATGGCACCCCGGTCCAGTCGGCGGGGCGGAAATCGAGGGGCGATTTCGGCCTCCAAAAAAATCTGGGAGAGAGAGGGACACTGACAGCACTGAGTCATTCCGATAAGATAACCGCTGCTCTGCCCACACATTGCCCGCAGCGTCATTGGCCGGCTATCGGCCGCGCTAATAATGAGTCCAAGGACTGGCTAAGGAAGACTTGGCTTATCTTCAGGAACACTTACGATGTAGTTTTACGCCAGTAGCTAACCTGGGAGCATGGCGCATGCTGACCTCACCTGCAGTGAAATGCATTAGCTTTTTTGCCTTGCGGAGATCCAGACCGGGGCATGGGGTAAGACGATCCTTTGCCTCGTACTCCATCTACTACCATATACGGAGCGCTGACACTGGTCAATGCGACGGTGGTGACCTCGGCATCCACCGAGGGACAAAGATTGTCAGGGACAAAGAAGGCCGTGAACATGACTGCAACTGAAATCTAACCCCCATGTTCTGCTTCTATTCCATGTTTTCTTTCTCACCGAATATTCTCTCGAGGTAAACGATCTTCATTTAGTACAGAAATGGCGCTAAAAAGCGCAATTGGAGTGGATTTAGATACGCGGTATATGCGGATATCTCGAGTTACGCGACAATGAAAATTCCTCGAACCTATGTACCTAATGAAAAGGCAAAAACGCCGCCCATAATCTCGTTGTTCTGTGCCGTATCGTCGAGACGCCATGCTCGCTGAGAAAAGAAATAGCGAAGAAAACTAAGAAACTGCCTTGTCTTGTCCATGCCGGATGTCCATTCAGTCTAATCCGTAGAAGCCGATAACCTCTATCCGTTTTAGTTCGGTTTAGAGAGAAGAAAGTCGGCGCGATAGCGGTGACTTTCATCTTTTAGAGTGCACACCCCACGTTGAATGCATCGCTGGCGCGCCATATTCGGGGAGACATCGGTGAACAGAAACAAGGAGCGCAAAAATGAGAATCCCTGACTGACCAAGGACAAAGTCAGGCGCTGAGTGGCCTAACTTATATAGCCGGGTTCTCCTTGACGACCTGCTTCACGCGTTTCTCATAAGCAACCCGGTCTTTCTTGAACATGTTGTATGCTTCAGCCTGTGCTGGCGACTCGGGATTTGGGTCATCCAATAAGTCTTGGATACCAAGAAGGATTTGTTTAATCGTGATTGCCGGTTTCCACGCCTCATCTTCATTCAAAATCGATAGACAAACTGTCCCAGACGGGTAAACGTTGGGGTGGAATAAGGCTGGCACGAACTTGCCTATTCAGATAAACGACCAGGTTAGCCCAGAACATCATAATAGGTAAGTTGGCAACTGAAGTCAAGTTTAAGCCATGCAAGGTAACACAAAGCAAACGGTGCCCAGTCCTAGGCTTGTGGGATATAGCATGACAAGTATTCCACTTCAACGAAGAAAGCAGGCAACGTACATTTAGGAGGTTTTGTAGGATACTCTAAAAAGAACAGTCAGTCGACAACTCTGCGCTGCATTCCCATGGAGTTAAGAAGGGAGCACTCACCATCAGGAAAGTGGACATCCAGCTTGAAAAGCCCACCTTCCCAGATTGTCCCCTTCTTCCCAGGAATACCGCATTCCCAGCGCTTCATATCCAGAACACCCTGGGCTGTACGATGAGGCTTGGCATAGAAGGCGAAAGGGTGGTCTTTACGCCACTGTTTCCTTTGCGCAAATGTCATGGTCAGCTCAGTTTACTAGCAAGGGCAAAGATAAGCCATTCAAGAAATACCTCTCCTCGGTCAACCGGTTCAAACAGAGTGACATATTTCGATGCGATAGATGCTAGATCGCGAGTGGTGTTGCGCACAGCTAGGAGGCTTTGAAGCGGGCCCGAATGAAGGCGAGGCTTCTTGAAATAGTAGTCTATGGCAAGGCGAAATACGGGGCCGTGGAATCGAGAGGTGCGCAAGAGCTGGCAGAGAAAGTTGCAGCGCCTAGAAGTAGCGGAATGATTCGAGCGGTTCCGTGGTGTGGTTAGAGAGGCTTGGTGTAGTTGGAGACAGGCAAGTTTCGCTGAGTTCGAGAGATGTTAGTGAGAGAAAGGTTAAGGTAAACAAAATCCTCCGTGTGTCACTATTAGGAGCTTGAATAGTCAAAGGTGAGGATGTGAACTGAGCAAATTGAGGCCTGAGGCAAAGCTGCATTGTCTGGATCTCTCAGTTGGTTCATGTGATCCCAGCCAATGGACGCTTCTATTTTCTAATCACGTGCTAAGTACATAGATCATATTTGTATAGTAATGGGGCGTCTCACTTGTGCTCTGTTGGGATATCGCTTGCTTGAAAAACTCCGTACGCTACGTCTCTGAGATGTTTCTCTTGATTGCATCATCAAGGTGATTTATCCATTTTCCCAGACGCTACTGACAAAGGAATCCGGGCACAAGAGTAGATCGTACATTCCAGGACTGCGCCCAGTGATCCTTTGAGCATGGATAGCAACCACACATTTCTGTCATCAAGTCTCCACAGCTATTCATTGTTTACCATTGATATTTCCTGGAGACTGGCTATAACAACAAAGCCACCCCACCTCTAGTCAGTCTCTATCCCCAGGTCTTCGTCAAGAGCCATTCTCAACATATCATTCTCTATCCACCCGACCTGGAGTTGACATTCAGAGACATCAGCAACGAACGATATGTGCCATCGCATCTTCTGGTACTATGCCCTTTGCAATCACCTGGACCAGGCCTCCACCATTAACATCCGCTGCAATATTGCTCTTCAATGCAACTACGACTGCGGTGTCATAGAAACAATGTCGCTCCCTATATTCGGTGGCTGTGCTTCCTGTACTTTGAGAACAACCTTTGCGAGAATCTTGCGGCAAAAGACGTCGTACGGCTTCTCTCCAATAATGGAAAGCTTCGAAGATGAGGCCTTGGTGGAAAGCGACGAGTCTTACATGTCCAGCACGCATAGTGGCGACTCTGTCGATGAACTAGATATGTTTGATAGGGTCATATTCTAGTGGTTGAGTGAGCGATTAAGAGCATCACACCATGGCAAAGGGAGCTCAGCAGCCCAAATTGGCCGGTATCATGAGTGTGCTGCATTGGACCAAAGACCCACGAGCATATATCCGGCCACGCTATAGCATTTCTAGTGTGTGACCGGCAGACCCATGATGTCGACGAATCAGTCCTCATAAACAGCCTGCTCAAATTTCTGAGCGTCAAAGAAGCGCGCGGTTATTTTGTTGCCGTTGAATATTCGACCCTCGAGCGCATTCACGGCCTACACGATTACACCATCAATATAAGCATAGATCCGACGGTTCTGACCCATTGAATGGGGCCACTTACCCGAAGGGCAGACAGTTGGTTGGTGAACTTGACGAAGACGGGCACCGGCGGGTTGGAATCACGAGATATATAGACACGTTCCACACGACCATACTGCTTGACGTTAGATATAAAAAAGAAGATGGGATATCGAGTCGTTACCTTCTCGCCGCATTCTTCCCCTATTTCCTGCATTAACCCACCACCCTCTTCGCCTGCCAATTCTGCGTCCACATCCATTCCGTCCAGCATCCCTTTCAGAATGATGACTTCGCTCATTGCACCGAATTTGCCCACATCCTCTTGCTTTCTTGCGCCGCCGATGATCTTACCTCTACCAGCCGGCGTGATGAAGCCGCCACCTTCGGAGTCAGGCCGTTTCTTGCGTTTCTCGACTTGAACTTGCAAAGGTTTCGCGATGCCTGAACCGGTAGCACCCAAGCCAGATCCCTTAGTCCACCCATACTTCGCCAACAAACGCTCAGCGAACCCTTTCTGACCTGGACGTAATGAGCGCTGACCATCCTGACCATCCTCTTCCGCCTCTCCTTCTGCCTGCTGCTCGTTGGCGAGGACTTCTTCAAGCTCCGCTTCCGAGGCAGGGATGTCGTCAGGGGCGGGCGGGAGGGTATATCGAACAGGTGCGCGCGAGATCGTTGCGGACGGTGCCTGAATATTTTGCAGTGGATTTGACGGAGCCGGCGGAGGTTGATGCTGTCCTGACATCTGTATACGGCGCAGATAAGCATCATCCCCAGTCGGTGCATCAATTGGAGCTGCCGGTCCTGAAGGCGGAGGAGCCGAGTAGTCAGCTTTATCGGTGTCAGCTATATTTGCTGCCATTTGAGCTCGCCGTGCGAATGCATCTTCTCCAGAAGCAACATCTTCAGGAGGCACTTGTGGGACATTGTTGAGGTTAGGAGGTGGAGCGAAACTGCTTGGAGGCGCAAATTGCCCTGACTAGAGTAAGTACTGGGGAGACCAGAAATACACAGGATCTTCGGCTTACTGTTCACCGGGCGTCCATAATCCTCGTCGCTATACGAGTCTCTGCTCGGCGAACGGGCCATACGGTGTGCATATAGACGGTCTTTCCATTCTCGCACTTCGGATATCTGCTCATCACTGTGCCTGTATTCTTCGTATATGTTCGGTCTCGACGGATCGTAGATGTCATCCCAGTTCTGCACAAACTCCTGCGCTTCTCGGTTCTTCTTGCGCTTCTTGCGGCCACCGCGCTGCCTCTTAGGTCCCGTGTAGAAGCCATTGACGTCGTCTTCTTCGGTAGCCGCCCAGTCTGCAAGCGTGGACTTGACGGGAGCTGCGGTCGGAGCTACAGAAGTCGCCTTCGGTAGAGTGGGCTTCGGCTTGGGTTTCTGGGTCGCGAGTTGTGGGCGTTTTGTCGGTTGGAATCGAAGAGCTAGACGCGAAGGGATGAGCAATCAAGTCACATTTGCGCCAGCGTAGCCAGATGACATTGCATACCATTGTTGACCTGTTTTTTTGCGGCAGCTTCCTCCGACTGAGCTTCACCTTCTGCTTGCTTAAACACGACTGGGGCGCGCGAAATGGTTCCAGGAGAGTTGTCGGCGGAAGGGTCGAGCAGGTTGGCGTATAGTGACAACATGCCGCCCGGTTTGGCGGGCGTCGAATCAGAAGTCATAGGTAATGTGCGTGCGACGCAGAATAGATCAGAGAACTATATTGACTGAAGCATGAAGAGCTCTGTCGCGGAGTTATTCATGCTGATAGAGCCGGTACAGGAAGTTGTTTGCTCTGTTTGCTTCTACCGTTAGCCGTGGACAGCCTACGGTACAGCAAGATCCACCTGTTTCTATAGTTACCCTGTACGGCCATGGCCACCGCCATGGCTACCAAAACATGTGGGTCCTGCTTGTTTCAGTCCAAAGGGTTACCTATCAGATACGGGGAGCTCGGTAAATGGGCCGATGTGCCCGAGGATGACGAGATAATGAATGGAGGTTACCTACTCCGTCTACTCCGTAGACGCCGCCAGGTCGGGGGTCCATTAATTTGGACCCGGTCTCTTCTCGTTTCAGTTTTCTGTCATCAGAATACTCTCTTTCAATCAGTTTCCTGAAACCTGTCGGAATGGCTACATTGGCACGATCTTTCTCCGCTGATGGCGCTGGCGTCGCCGTCATTGTTCCCCAGAACCCAACACTATCGATAACTTACAGGGAGCTGCATTCGCATATCTCCGACTTCCAGGCAAAGCTGGCCAAGCTTGGTGTTGGACATGGCGCCGCAGTGAACCTGGCCCTTGTCAATTCATATGAATTCATTGTGGGCTTCCTGGCAGCCTCCTGGCAGCGCGCAATTGCTGCACCTCTGAACCCGGCCTACAAGCAGGACGAGTTCGAGTTCTATATCGACGATCTCAGCTCAACTCTAGTTCTTATTCCCCGGGGATCGTATGCCCAGGATGATCCTGCGGTTCGGGCAGGCAGGAAGTACGAAGCGGCTATTGCTGAGTGCTACTGGAATGGGGCCGAGGTTGTCCTCGATATGAAGGAGCTGGGCAAGCTTCAGAGCACGGGGAACGTCGGTGTTCAAACCGCTCAGCCCGATGATGTCGCGCTTGTCTTACATACCAGCGGAACAACTGGCCGGCCCAAGGCTGTACGTAGACAGTTCTATGGCCATGAATAGTTCAAGACGAGGAGCATTCTGACGCCCTAGCAGGTTCCACTTACCCACAAGAACCTAACAACCACCATGAGTGAGTCCCTCAGTCAACGCTACTGAGATAGGGCTAATTCCGTTCCATTTTAGGAAACATCCAAGCAACGTACAAGCTCACCCCCCAGGATCGGACATACCTAGTCATGCCTCTGTTCCACGTTCACGGCCTCTTAGCTGCCTTTCTTGCTCCTCTTGCCTCCGGTGGCTCAGTGGTCGTGCCCGCCAAGTTCTCTGCTCATCAGTTCTGGACAGATTTTATCACTCACAAGGCAAACTGGTACTCCGCCGTGCCCACTATTCACCAAATCCTGCTCAAGTCACCGCTGCCTAACCCTATCCCTCAAATCCGCTTCATCCGCTCTTGCTCCTCGCCGCTGTCACCGAAAACCTTCCAGGATCTGGAGAAGGCCCTCAACGCCCCGGTTCTTGAGGCCTACGCAATGACGGAGGCAGCCCATCAAATGACAAGCAACCCCCTCCCCCCAGCGAAGCGACAGCCCGGCAGTGTAGGTATCGGCCAAGGAGTTGAGATCAAGATCCTTGACCAGTCCGGAAACGAAGTCCCCCAGGGGTCTGAGGCGGAGATCTGCGTCCGAGGGGAGAACGTTACAAAGGGTTACCTCAACAACCCCGCGGCCAATGAATCTTCTTTTACTAAGGACGGTTTCTTCCGTACTGGCGACCAAGGTAAAAAGGATCCCGACGGTTACGTGATTATCACTGGCCGCATCAAGGAACTCATCAACAAGGGCGGAGAGAAGATCAGCCCAATTGAACTGGACAACACGCTCCTGCATAATCCTAAAGTCGGTGAAGCGGTCTGCTTCGCGATCCCCGACGAGGGCCACTACGGCGAAGACATCGGAGCAGCCGTGGTCTTGAAGAGCGGACAGAATTCTACTGAAGATGAGTTGAAATCTTGGGTTCAGGAGAAGCTGGCTAAATTCAAGACGCCGAAACAAGTAAGTATTTACGCTCTCATCGCGCCGCTGCACCTTCGCTAACACCGCGAAGATTTGGATCGTGCAGCAAATCCCCAAGACCGCAACAGGAAAGATTCAACGACGTAAGGTCGCAGAGGCAATGCTGAAGCCCAAGGCCAAACTGTAATGTTTCTGACATGCTTCATTATGTTAGTGATATCTGTTTCCTATGCAAATATAATCATCGCCCGTAGACTGCGCTATATGTATAGCACAAACCTAACGTCCATACCATCCGGATTTAATCTAAGACTCCCCATCTAGTTTGCAACCCTGACCGCAGATTTGAACTAGACGTAGCGAGCCCAGTTAGCAACGATTCACAACCACTGCCGAACACTGAGAGGCCAGCACAGGGCCAGTCAAACTAGGTATACAGGTGAACAAACCGGAATGACCTGCGCGGCATCCAAGTCCCAAACCCCAGACTTTACATAGATGTCGTCCCGAATAATCTGCCAGGCATCTTCCTCCTTCTCTCCGATGACGATGAGCATGCTCCCCTTGAAGGAGGGTGTCTCGCCGTCGGATGGGTGAGCGTTGAGCATGGCGCCTGCACCGAGTAAACGGAAAGAACCAAGGCCTTAGCACGGAAACGTATTTGCCAAGGGGCGCAGCCTCTGGCTAGCGAGGAGCAGGGAGCAAAGGGTAGCACATACCACCAACAACAACCTTGCCGGCCTCAACGAGCGGCTTCACGCCCTCAAGGTGTTTTCTATATACATTATCAGGACAGATCTTCAGGCCGTACGGAAGATAAATGGGGTCGCGGAGAAAGCGTACGATCGAACCTCCAACCTCTTCCCCTGCGCACCGGGCTTGTCAGGGAGAATGCAAAGGAATTCGTTGGCCATGGTTGACTGTGTATTAGATGCTTTGAATAGATAATGAGGTGAAACGTGGAAGGTTCTATGAGCCTGAGATCGATGCCGAAGGAGAGATCCTAGCCCCCGGGCTGTTGTTGATTTTATGAGGCGGGGTGTCTGGGTGAGCATGGTATTGGTGGGGAAGATGGTGGGATCTGCTGGAGAAAGTCTCGGGGAGGACCAGGATATCGGCGGCGGAGTTCTATCCGAGGTTGTATGTAGACAGCGTGCCGGCCAAGTAAGCAACAAAAGCAAAGACCCCCAAAAATCGATAGTCCAATTCAGCTGTCTACTCCGTAGTTGTCTAAGCGTTGATTTTAGTAATAGTTCCACTTGACCGTCAATTGACTACACATAGCCTATATATGTATGTACAAAGCAGAGCACCAAATGCCCTCACTGATCGCTCTCTGTCCTCGACTTCATCTGACGCAGCCCCTATGCCACCTAACACAGAGTTATGGAAATGGATCACTTGTAGCCTGCACTGAGGTCCATACCATCACCGCAGGGAGCGAAACGTCGGACGCACCGAAGCAGAAAAGCGGTCAAGGCCAAGACTCTGGGTGGAAGACTCGGTCATTGACATGGTGCCCTTCGCCGACGAACAAGAAAAGCTCAAACAGAGCGTAATCATCGTTCAACTCTATGAGCCTCCAAGACCGCTGAACACATTCCCCAAGCGCCAACAGAAAAAGCACACATAACCCTAGAACACAACGTAAGAGAAGGCTAATTACCGGAGTCGAGCTGGCAGTTTGCGACTTCCGAAAAAAAAAAAAGTGATTAATAGAAAGAGCTGCGTAAGATGGCGAACCCCACGTGATGAAACTAGCTGCTATGCGCCAGATGTACAACGCATAGAGGTATTTCGAACATTGGGTAGTTGCCTTGGGCGAGAAATCAACTTAGGTGGGCGAACTAGTACGCCTTGCGGTCGCCGAGATTGCCGGGCTTCTCATCAGTATCGATGTGCCAGACAACATAGTTTGGCAATCCGATGACCTGGTATCCAGCACGCTTGGCCATCTTCGCAAATCCTTCCGTTTCGGCCTGGTTCTCGAAGGCATACGCCGGGAAGTTGATTCCTGAGAGCAATGTTAGAGCCAATGGAACTGAAAAGAATTGTCGAAATTACCTGAGCGATGGACGTCGGCCTTGACAACAATGTTGACACCGCCAATGCCGTCGAGCTCGACCTCTTTATCCTTGTCGTTCCTCCAGTCGCCCATTCCAACGAGATACTCGCGGCCGGTGTCGTACTCCTTGTAGCCTTCCGCCAAAACAGTGTCAGGGTCCAAAGTAGCACGGAGTCTTCGCCCTTTGTCAGATTCAATCCAGGAGTTGTAGTCAACTATAGCAGGTCAGCAAAAGTCCACCACATGAAACCATCATGAGTACGTACAGCGGCCCTCAATATCGACGCCATCCCTGTACCGGTGGAACCAAATGTCTGAGAGAGTTAGTGGTTTTTGAATCGCCAGAAATGATGGAATAAATCATACTCGGGACGAGAATATCTTTGTCGTGAGCGATAAAATCCTCCAGGATGGTCTCCGGGCTGTCCACAATATCTACATCTCGCCAGTACACCCAAGAGTGGTCAGGCTTCAGAGCGGAATAAAGCAGATAGTTGCGGGCCCTGCCGATAGCCTTGCGCCGAGGTCCCTGTGCAGCGAATGAGTGTCTATCCTCCACGGACATCTCGAAGTCGGTGCCGAAGTCTTTTTGAATTATGGTGGCGCTACGGAAAGCGACCTTGTCGCCCTGATCTTGGATCCGCTGTAATTCGGAGGCGAGGTTTGACAAGGTATCGTCCTTGGTGTCACCGACAAGGAAAGCAAGATCAATCAGCTCGTGGGGGTAAGTCAACTTATAGATGAGGTCGAAATATCTGTTCAAATGTGTTGAAGCATCTCTCAGCGGGGTGAGGATAAGAATCCGCTCGCGGTTTTGAACGGCCTGGTTCGTGGACTTGATGGGGTTGAGGTCGACGCTCTTGATGGAGCTGGAATTCACTTCGTAAGGTTCGTGGTAGTTGAAGAGGACTGGAGTCTGGGCATGAGCGGTCCATTCGGAGATCTCGTTGAGGCTCATATCCATTGGCGCTTTCGGAGGCCCGTAGCAATAGAAACTGGCGAGTTGACGCGATCAGTAAACTTTACCGCTTTCTCGCTGTAGGTAGGACGTGTCAACTCACTTTTGCATTTCAGAGGCAGAGCTGCTGATTCCGCGCCATAATAGAACAATCAGGCCAGTAATGGCCAGGGATATTAAAAAGCGTGTCCTCGTTACTAGAACTAGGATCGCCCGCCATGGAGGCAGCCTTGCTCTGGCTGACTTCCACGTTACACCACCTTTCGGAAGTAGCATCCTTATTAGTGAGATAGATTGGGTTCGCGGAGGCTGAAGAACTCGGGAGGATGATATTTATAAGGATGAGGCAATAGAATGCCCACGAAGCGCGACAATCCCCGGCACGGTCTGTCGGGACACGCGGCGAAGGATAGGGGTGTTCTGCGGCGGCGACTCCGGAGTCAGGGGGAATGGTCGACGGATTCCAGGCTGTCGAGAAATTCGTAGCCAAACGATTAAGAGAAAAGTAGGTTATTGGATGATATGATCGACTTTGCGTAGAAAGCCTGCACCGGATCGACGAAGGAGGGCGAAAAAAGGTTCGGTACGGGGGAAGGCAGTAGGACCGATCGCGAGGAGAAAGTGACGAACCAAACGAGTGGAAAGAACCGGATTGAGGCTCGATGGGATACCGGACGAGCAGATGATTTGATCAACTCCCGTCGTGGGTTGAGAAGCGGAGGGGGCGATGGGCGATGGGATGGGAGAGAAGGGGGCCGTCGGTTGAGTGACAGCTGGAAAATCCGCCAGCCGCAGTCCAGCCAACTACTACCTACGGAGTAATACTATACTACTCCGTATTAGCCTGTCCCCGAAATTGATCCATGGTCAGAGTTACTTTTTTATATTCTTAGGCTTCAGGAATGGCATCAACTATGTACTGAGCTCTAGCCACTAACAATCAAGACAGATGATTTGAAAGCATGTCATCACAACGCTCGGGGTAGATTCAATGAGGGCTGGCTCGAGGTTATCCAACGAGGTAAAAATAAAATACGCTAACCGTACCACCCGGCGTTGATGCCTCAGGCGTCAGATTCTAGATTCAGGGTCTCGAGCGCATCGACCCTTAAAAAACATAAATTAGATAACATTAACATAGCATTTCCTCAGCTTCCACATACGCTGTATGACAGTATTTGACGGAAACAAAATAGACTATCTTCTCTCAGCCAATCTCCAATTCATGTTTTTTCTTCCTCTCTACTACAAGCAACATTAAGACATGCCCTCAGAATACCTCACACGTGCTCAATGATTAATCTACCTACGTATGTGTCTACTGGCACTGACAGTGGCTATATGTTCATGATCATTGTCTGTATATAGTGAGTGCTAGTTACGACATATGGTCAGCACTGTTGACATATTTGAAAAGATACACTCAATCCCCCAAGCGCAGCCAAACCACCAGAAAAACACCAGATTCCCAGGCCCCGAGCATAGGAGAGTACAAAGGAAAGTAACACCGAAATATGCGCTGGCTACACAAGATGGAAACCCGAAAGTAGATCGGGAAGACAGCCCAACCCAACGACCCTTGTGCGCACTTCAGGATGTCTCAGGACGAAACGACAACAGGAACACGCCGGCAGAAAGCCAAGGACATGCTTCAGATGACCGCCCGCCGCCTTATTATTACCGAAGAAAAGTCATCTCAATAATTTTTGCAATAAAAACCTGAATGTCGTTATCACCGCGTGCTTAATTCATGGTGATTGAAGAGAAGACGAAGGTCGTGAGCTGGTCGTTGAGTACGCGGCTTGGTTGAAAACCGGAGAAGATGGCCCGGTCGATGGAGGTGTGCGGCTGATAAATGATTGACCATAAAATTGAAAAGTCCCAGCAGACAATGCCTCGAAGCGACCGAAGTCCGGGGTAACAGCACTAACCCCACGGATTCCATTTAAACCAGGAAGCATGACTTTTGGTGCGATATCCGGCAACGAAGCAACTTCCTGTGGGTTAGGCTGCTCGCTCTTTGAACGGCAGCACATGTGCCCATGGGCTTTGGATTGGTACCCAACGGCTCGGTCTCGCTCTCCCAATTCTCGATTGCGCTCTTTGAGCTCCATGATCTCGCGCTCAGCCTCCAAAAGCCTGTCGTGAAACTCCCCAACAACTAATATCACCTGGTCAATATACATCACAGAACCTTTGAGGATGTGTTCCTTGGACGGTGCCGAGTTCTTCGAGAGATTCCAGCCAGCCTCTTTGAGAAAATGGTCCGGAACTCTGTCATCCAAATCGTGGATACTAACGCTTAGGTTTTTGCGTCTGTCTGCTTCAGCAACGCGGTGCTTTTCTTTCTGCACATCCGGGAAGCCCGCCATATTCGCCGTGCGTTTCCGGCCGCACTGCTGCAGTGGCTTTTTGCGGGTTCTGCCCTCTTGTGGGCGAATTGAGGCATATAACTCGTTCACGGGAGCGGACTTGATATCCGAGATCAATCTGCCTGGTCCCTGCGGTGGTACCGAACCCAAGCAGGAATCTGCAGAGTACGCCGGGGAAGGTGGTGGAACGATGTGCTCAGCTGGTGACATCATTGGTCGGGAAAAAAAGACCTCATGAGTGTTGGGTGGGCTGGGCATGAAGTTTCTTTGGACAAGGAACACATCCCGCTGGGGCACGTTGGGCGGGATTGGAGGCAAGGACCTGCCCATAGTCATATTTGCTGAGCCTGATGCGGTGATGATTGCGCGCAAGCTGCTACTCCAGGTCAGTCCTGCCGGAACCTGAAGAAACAAAGACACTTACGGGAGATGATTGTGCGGGGAGGCATCGCCTGCCATGGAGGCCATTGTGTCAGTGGCCTGTTGTGTGTGCTGGAATGACACCAAAATGCAGCCTAGATGCAATGTCGTCTCCTGTCGATAGGGAGAGACCCGAGAATGTACAGTGGTAGAGCGGTATGGATGTATGTCTGGACAGTGTAAATCCCGAAAATGGGCGGTATCCGTGAAATTGAGGAGCAACGATGAAGGCAATGAAAGGACTTGAATGTTATAGATCAGGGCGGGACGCGATTGAGGAAGCAATGGCAATTGAGGATTTCACGAGGCCTTGGATGCTGGAAGGAACTCGAGGTTGAAGCGGGATGCCACATGCTTTATATGTGGAATGAACGAGGCGAGGGAGACGAGGGATGAGCAAGAATAGTAGTGTGCACTCGAGACCCGAGACCTCGGAGTGCTAGTTGATGTGAGATCCGAGAGGGAGTGCGTGTGTAAAGGAAGATGAGGTATCACCGGGCAAGCCCAGCAATCCATGTCCTGCACCAAACAACTGGGAAACCCGCCCATCTCCAGTTCGTCCTTTCAACAATGACTGTGACTGTGACTTGCAGATCTGTCGTTATCCTGCCTTTAATTTTCCCTCCTCAACCCTATTTACTCGGTAATAAAGTTTTTACTTGCTATTTTAGCGTCTTTTTTCTTTTTTTTCCAACATCATATCAAGTACCAACCATATAAAGTACCAACCATGTCATGTAACAACTCTCCCCTGCAGGCCAGCTCGTCTCGCCGCGGGGCTTGCAGCTCCCTCGAACTCGTCCTCTATTGCTTCTTCGAACCCATCTTTGCCTCCATCGCCCCTTGGGCGTCCTGCTCCTTCCGTTTTCGTGAAAAGAGGCCCCTTTTTTCTCCATGAGGCGATCCACGCGGAACCGCCACGAAGACTCCGTCAGAGTTCGATGCTCAAAGCTAATCCGTTTTCGCGAACGTCTGGGGCTCTATTCTCTATCATAAAACGCACAGATGCCGGGCAGCAGGCGGTTCACCAATCAGCGATGCTTGCTTGATCACATACCTACCTAGGCGGCTACTGTTTGTACGACCGCCCTAAATCTTCAGTGGAGTGAGAAATGCAGACCCTTGATTTCGTCACCCGTTGTAGCGGATTCTCGATCTTCACGGGGCAAAACAATATGGAATCCTCCTTGCATAGAAGCCTGAAAACAACTTCAATAGCACGAATCTTTGATAGGCCACAAACAATGCCATCCACTGTGTCGGGTAATGTCGATTGACGCGTTCTTCGTCAGGTTAAGCGCCCCGAGATCGACGCGACGGGATTTGGGATGCTTCCGGCGCTTATGCCTCAAAACAAGCCAAGACTGCAGATTGGGAGCAAATATCCATCTACGAAGTATCTGGGATAAAGATATGATTGTACTGGTACATCTACGAGAGTGCAAGGTTGAGACGACATGGCACATCGCTTCTCCCGCAGCCACCAATTTGTCGACCCGTGGTTCATCTGCATGAATACAGCCGACTGTTCGGAGCTTGCTGCATCGATAAATTCACCCTATAATGTGCAAAAAGTACGGTTCGTCGGGAGGAGGGGGTGTTTCCCAAATTAGTCCTTTTGCATGAACTTCCTGCGCACAGGCATTCGCAGGATCCAGAAGCAGATCAGTCTCCCGACAGAAGGCGATCCAGAGCTTAATAGCACGAAGCAAGGACTCTAGTACTCTAAGCTTGTTGCTCCAAGCCAGACGCCAAAGTACTCGACAGAGCAAACTAGCCCCCGATGTCCAGGTCTCAGCGCGCGGTTAGCAGCTTTACCTACCCTATGGCTCTACCTATGGCAGCGAAGTTGCAAAAGAAAAGGGTACACTACAGTGTTACCTTGGACATGTCGACCCGAATCCCTTCGCTGTCAGCCATCTAATCTAGTATAAAGAGTATCATCAAAGTCTTGTATCTTGGATGAGCCAGGCGAAAACGAGCCCAGAACAATCGCGGGGATGGAGTCTGAAGCCAAGATCGCCACACTGCATAAAGTCTACCCAGAGACCTGGCCCCCGGGTTGTCACCAGGAGATCCCGGTATCTGTTCCTGCGAGCGTGCATTATTTAGCCGGGCCTAGCTGTTTCGTTCTTTGGCTCAGGCCCCAGGAAGTCCAGTACGAACGCCGTGACTAGACTTCTTGGAGTATTTGGAATTCACGTTAGACATCTCCAACTGACAGGAAATATCGTTATCCGTGCCCGGCCACTACCGAGAACATGGTAGAGGCGCCATGTGGCGTGGGTGCTGTCGCCAACCGTTCCCAATCCAAAATATGATGGGACATATCGGTGGCGGCCGCGCGAACAACCGCTCGAGGGTGCGTAAAATACGGCATACGTTTCGCCTACTGGGCTTCTATTCTGATGATGTGCCCAATAATTTGGTTATTATTATGCATACCACGGAAGTGGAGGCGGCGGATCGTATCATGTATGCCACCGGTTATAGAACCTGTCATCTGTGTCCCCAGATTCACTTGAAGGAGGGGAGATTCTAATATGGCTAGAGCCGCTAGACCGGGGCGCCACGTTTTCTACCTGGATAATGTCGATGTGGATGATTGTCGTTCTGACTGCCTTAGCCCCTACTGGCTAATGCATCGGTGTTGAGCGACGGTGGCTCATGTCTGGTGTGCGCCGATGAAACAAGCCACGGCATTTGACTTCGAATGCTTATCCTAACTTGGGACACGCGCCCATTGACTCAGGCACGAACCATTGAGCATTATTACTCGCAAACTTTACTCCATACAAGTGCCACAGGTACAGATGTCGAAGCGAGCAACGGGAGTCGCCCGACACGGGCACGCGGTACCGCATGCCGAGTTTAGCTCTGAGTCTCTCAGACTGTCAGTCGACTAAGTCATCCTCTTGAGTGGTGATGTGCGCTTCCAAAATGTCCGAGTCTTTTCTAAGTTGCCGTGTCTCGCTTATTCTCCGGAATACTGCCGATCAAATTGAAAGCGACAGCTACTGTGGGGAAACCCCAGGTCACGAAAGAGAAAGAAAATTCGACTGAAAATACTGAGCCAGGCAACCTCACGAAACAAGTACATGTCTTTGTTCTATCGCTAGATTGCAGATTATACCTCCAGTAAAAATCCCGGGCAAACAATCATCATCCACAGAACAATCTCCAGGCTTGGGGTTGGGGCTCGGCCTTTGCTTGAGCCACCGTAGGACAAACTAAGAATAGCTCCAAGTGAGAATCAGAACGCCCAGGGCTAGAACGCCAACAAGTGATGCGTCAGAATTCAGAAAGTTAAAGGGAGCACTGATCTCTCTACAAGTACAACTGTACAACATGTCCTTTTGCGAGCCCTATGGGACTTTGTCCATCCCTTCTCCACGCGTGGAGCTCACCGGGCCCGTTCAAAACTTCAAGACGCTTCAACAGCCTAACAACCCCGGGGGCCTACATTAGTCCATACCTGCGGCCAGGGTAATCCCCGCTTGCAGGTGCATAATCTATACAAGACTGGTTGTCTGCTGACTTCAATGGGTACTTATCCGTCTTTTGCTTCTTCTTCTTCTTCTGGTTCTTCTCGCTGCAGCAGTGCGTCTTGCAGCTTTTTTAGTGCTTCAGCAGGTCCTAGTTGGGCCCCCAGCATGATTGAATACCTGGAAAGGGGAACCAAGGAGGTCATCGCCTTCGACGCATATCCTTGACCCACATCTATGGCTGACTCGTGGTCCCTTTCGAATAGTGGATTCCAACGGATCTGGAATACACTCAGCTTCTTCTACTGTTTGTGGGTTGCTAGCCGGTTTGGCATTCTAAAAGATCTGGCGCCAGTAGTGTCCTGCCTACGTTCGTCTCCAATTTCTCTGGCTTAAAGCACCATTCCAGCATTACCCCTCTCCAAGGCCATCCGCCCCAATCGATCTACAGCATGCACCCGGGGACTCGGGATCTGCAGGCATAGGCCTGGGCTGTTCGTTTCTTTGGTGAGCCAGGTTGACGGCTCAATGCCTGTCGATCAATCTATCATTTTGCACCATCTGGTGATCCAATCATTCAGTCACAAGTCACACTCTGAGGACCGGAATCCTTACAACGGGCCACGCAGTTCAGTTCATTCGCGGCATGAACTCATCCCTGTGTCGTTTAATGATCATCAATCTCTCCGCGGCCCCTGGTATGCTCTGCTGTTTGTTACTCCTTCTAGACTACGGCAAGGTAAGGTCCACTTCGTATTCCTTTCAGTTAATCCATTTCATGTATCAGATCTTATCTTAGAACAATTGTACTTCGTGCGAACTGTATCCCCTCCGACGCACACGGGATCAGACTCAAGTCCTTCGATCCATGAAGTATCATGTCTTTGACCTCTTTCCAGTTTATCAGTTGTCCCCAACTCATACGTGCTTGCAATGCCAAATGCGTGCTCATAGTCAACGGGACTCTATACCTGCGGTGGACCAGATCAGTCTTCAACATCATCTAGAACAAACTGTTCACAAGATACGCGCCTCTAACCTGCTTACTCGTGGATCTCTCGAACGCGCTGTGTATTCATCTTCGAAAAAACACATACACTGTTCAACAGGCCGTTTTCAGCCAGTAAATGCACTCTAGACTAAATCAAAAGGATCGCCCGAGATCATAGCCATTCATACAGAGTACTCGACCATGACCTCGAAGGTTCTGGACCCAATGCACGCCTCTGCAATCAGGCCAGCATATCTGTACGGAACATCGCGCCCAGTTCCCCCGAACCTTGGACTCAGTCCGGCCCCTTACTATACCTATCTACATAAGCGGCAGTAAACACGCCTCACAATCTCATCTATGCTCAACATAATCGGAATCAGAACCCACCTTCCGAGGTAAGGCTGTCGGAACTGACACATCATTGATCTACTTACTAGTGGATTTACGACCAGTCTGGACATGTACATTTGCTCTAACGCTCGGTAGGTGCCACTCCCTGCTCCGCAGAAGGCAAATGTATGGAAACGGAACTGAACAAGCAAGGCACGCAATTACTCGCGGAAAATTTACATGTCAGAAGAAGTCTTTACTCGTACTGCGCCCTTGCGGAGCACTGCCCCGTCAATTCTCATAATTCGACTTCTGCCTGGGTCGACTCTACAAAATATTTCCAGCCTCTATCTACAAACTACCTCGGTACATCAGTAGGCATAGGCACCTATGTACTGGGCCACAGCACAGCGCGCCGGCCCGAACGCATGCATGAGCAACATCATGCATTGTATCGGGCCCGATGTGCGTATACGGAGTACAGATATCAATCACCCATCAATTGCATCATACCCACATGCCTGTAAGGGCTTCTCCCAACAAAGCCAGCGGGAAATGGAAGTCTGCAGCGTTGGCGCAAGGCACGGTCACACAAGGTACGCAGTTTCATGGGTTGCCACTTGCTATCCGCTATCTACCCGGTAAACCAGACCAGTTGCATGTACATGTTAGGCTCCATCGAACCGGGGCCACGGGTCACTGCCTATGGTGCAATTTCGACTCACTGTCTACCTTATACTAGGTCGAGGTTGAAGTGGCCCGCGGGAAAGACCTCAACCCACCCGGTCCACTGGCCGGTTCGTGACCGATAGATCCCCCGGCCCGTCCACGTTACTATCATCTACTCCATCGTCCTGGCGTCGACTCGGGCCAAGCAGATGAAAAGCGAAGCAGATAAATAAGGATATACGGAGTCCGACTGCAAGCCCGGTACACCCTTATGGACAAATTTCCCTTCCGTATCCTTAATGGGATAGTTGGGTAAATGGTACAGAAAGACTAGGTACGAGCGCCTACTTCTATCGCTGTGTCAGTGTGTCCACTCCAGAATCCACTACTAACAGACTCAACCCGTCCAGATGTCATATCCACCCTCTTCCACCTCCACCTGCGAGTCCGCGAATCTGCGAGCCTACGAGGGAACCGTGCCGCGAGACCAGGTGCCGCAGCGCTGGGCTGCGACTCGTGAGGTACTAGCTCGACAGCTTCAAGGTTCTGTTGCGATATATAAACTATGGAAGTCGATATTGATCGTGCCGCACCACATACCCACGAGATCGAATGGAATCTGTTTCCGAGACCAATGAGGACGCTGCGACGGCATTCACGAAGCACAGTCCACAAGGGGACGGGAGTCAACCCCAGAATCACGATTCCGAATATGCGCCAATCGATACCTAAGTTGGGCTTCCTAGTAAAGGTACTTATGCTCGGAGTATCTCATAAGCTTGCCTGGTTGATCCCTCTCTGTTTTGGCCATAGCAGGGAATCGGATGGACAAGTTCCTGCATTTCTCCTGTAAGATAACTAACATCTGGGAAACACTTCAGCACCGAGAAACCTGCAGGCGCGAAGCTCAATATGTCCTCATTCTATGTCTCTAAGGTATGTCCCACTCCAGTAGACGTCCACGAAAGCCTGTAGTTGGCCTACGACCCAACTTCACAGTCTATCCTGATAGCCATATCATAGGCCCACGAAGTCACTGCTGCCTATGTTCCCTCCATTTTCATTTTCCCCAGGACTTCAGGAACTCGATCTGGGCCAAGGGTATCAGGAAGGACTGAGAAGCCCTGTTGGGCGTATAATTTGACCGTACAAGGCCATTGGAGATAGGGAGGATATATAGCACAGGCCAGTAACGTTCAAGAAATCTTTCTTGTTGTAGTCAGTGCTCAGACGTTATAACAAGTCCACAGACGGGATCAATTCAAGAGTTGCGCGAATGCTTCAAATGGGCTCAATAAAGTGATGACGATCGTTGCAGCTGCATGACGTTGTACTCCATGCTCCGTGTTACGCGATAAAGGTTGTCGTCAACTGGAAGATTTTTCAGCCAGTGACCAATGATGTTGTTGAACAGGATCATCCCGGGAAGGGAAAGATATATATATCATCAGCATTAAGGCCTTGGGTATACCCACATCGCGACCGCGCGAAGCGAGATGCACTATCCCGGACAGTGCGAAAGTAGATCATACAGTATTAGACCTTGGATTCCTAGACATTTGCTGTATAATGTTGAAAAGGTTGCCGAATATATGGAGGCCTACACCATACGGAAGAGGTGTCCGGATGAGATGCCGGAGAAATTGCCACAGTTAATAATTTAAGTGAGTCGAAGCGCAGCCTACAGGCAAACGAACACGATCGTGATCTTGAAAGTTCGATCCAGTTGCACGCCATGGCAAGGAATTCGCGATACGGTTAAGGTCATCAGAGATAAGCATGAACTGCGGAAAGAACGTCTATAAAACAGCTAAAACAAGATTCGAGCACCACCAGCTCGGAACATACACCTTGAATATTTCCACTAGGCCCGTAGACCAAAGGCGCTTTCCAACAACTGCTGACGGAAAACGAGAAGGGTGCCCAGAACTTCAATTATTATCATAAGAACAACGCGGTACAGATATCGAAACCCCAGTGCTTATTATGTCACTTTACACGACCACGGCGGGCGAAGGAAAAGACGAAACCAGAACGCAAAGATGCATACACAACTGTCAGGTATCCATGGCCATTTTACAGAACATACTGGACGAGAAGGCCGAACATGGCGGCAACACCCATGGCGGGGACGTTGGCAGCAGTCAGGACGGCAGCGTCATCGGTGGGGGAGGAGGAGCTGCTGCCGGAGGTGGTGGTGCTAGAGCCAGAGGTGCCGTCGGCAGTGGTGGGGTCGCTGGTCTCAGCCTCGCACTTGTAGGTACCGTGGATGGTGTTGTCCTTCCAGGAGTTGAAGGTGGAGCAGCTGAAGTTACCAGTGCTCTGCATGTTGAATCCACCACGAACGTTCTTGAGCGAGGGAAGAGTGGCCTTGTCGAAAGCACCGCTGAAGTCAATGGCACCGGTGACGGTGGCAAGCTTGGGGAAGCTGATGGACTTGAGCTTGTCGTTGCGGGTGATCAGGAAACCACCGTTGACGGTCTCCAGGACGGGAAGGCTGAGGTTGGAGAGCTGGGAGTTGTCCTCGAAAACAAGGTCACCAGTTTCCGTAAGGTTGGGAGCGCTGAGAGATGAGAAGGAGTTGCCCCAGAAACCGAGCTGACCCTCGAGCTTGGTGAGAGAAGGAAGAGAGACCGAGCTGACGTTACGGATGGTCAGGTTGGTACCGGAGGCGAGGTTGGGAAGAGAGATCTCCAGCTCGTCGTAGTTACCAGCGAAGTTGATCAGGTTGGTGGCGTTCTTGAGGTTGTTCACGTCGACGGTCTCGAGCTGAGTGTTGTCGGTGACGATGAAGCTCTGAACAGAGTTGAGCGAAATTCCGTCGAGGGAAGAGAGACCGGTGTTGACGATAGAGACACTGCCGGCCTTGGTGACACCCTTGGTGAAACCGAGGCTCTGGAGGACGGGGACGGCCTGGAAGTCAATCTCGCCGACCGAGGTGAGCTGAGGGAAGTCAAGCGAGGTGAGCGAAGTAGCACCATCGAGCTTGAAGGTGTCGTCAATTGTCTCAAGAGTGGGTGCAGAGAGGGCGGTGATGTTCGCGCCACCGGTGCTGGACAGGGCACCCTTGATCCTGGTAACACCGTTGATGGTGACAGAGCCGGACAGGCTGTCGGAGAGCTCGACATCACCGTCAAGAGTCTCACAGGTGTTGTAGCCGTCCAGGTCGCTCTGGCTGCTGATGGTGATGGTCTTGCCACTACCGCAGTCTGATCCCTAGTTAGACAACGCGCGACCGGAGCGTAAACAAGACATTATTTGACTCACTAGCAGCGAAGACGGCGTTGGCCGCAGCGAGGGCGGGAAGAGCGTATTTGACGAAAGCCATTGCTATGTCTCTGAAGCAAAGTGCATGAGTTAGCCTCTGCAATTCGCGATCTTGCCGACTACAACACTCACCGGAAGGTAGATTAAATAGTTATTCGACGGGCAATGCCTGGCCCTGTGTGTCGAGCAGTCGAGCAGAGTCGAAGATGCCGAAGATGGGAAAGAGGGTTGATAAACGAATGAAAGAAGGGGAGCTTCAACGAGGGAGAAGCTTTTGGGCAGACGTTTCTCGGGCGATGAGAAGACGGATCCGGAAAGTACGAGCTCAAACAGAGAGGAATGAAGGGAAAGAAAGCGAGAGAAAGGAAGCGAGGGAAAAGGAAGGACTGGATGGCGAGTCGCAGAGGAGGAAAGCAGGCTTTCAGGGAGGACAAGAAAGGAGTCGTGGCCTGGTTCGGTCTGGTTGGTGGAGCCCTCCTTGCCATACCAGCCCCGCTGTATTACAGGCACGTTACCCACACTACTTACGCAGTTTGTTGATTGATTTAGTTACATACGGCAGTGAAGAATCTCAATCATCTATCCGGCTCTGTACTCTATAGCCTTCATAGCCTTCATGACCCCTTGACCTCTGGCCATCTTGTACTCTGTATGCCCCTCCTGAATCCTATCTCTCACCATGACTTCGTACCTCTAGTCTTATCTGCATTTTAGCGGTCCCACTTGGTGTCATCCTATATTCATCCTCAAATTGGTGTTTCACTCTCGCCTGCATAAGAAAACTCAGAGATGATGCAGCGAATCCCAAGAGAACTCAGTAGTAAACTCTTGACTTAGAAGCAAACTACCTATATATGCCGGGCTGTCTGAAGAGAAGATCGTGTGCTCCAGATGAAAGAACAGAATCCTAGCATAATATTTCAAACTGGACTTGGCTCTGGAGTCTGGTCAAGATACAAAACCGTTGCTACTGGTTGACTGGCGGGAGAGACAAGGACAAAGTGCTGACCACGCCAAGCGCTTTAAAATACAAGACAGCCAGAACCATTTGATATCACAGATATTCCGTACATACCCATCCTCAATAGTCAATATCTGATATTCTATTTTCGTCCATTCCCCTCCCCAGATATGGTGTCAACAACATTCAGGAATGCTGCTATACACACGGAACATCATTAGTCCAGGAGTGGACGCGTCGCCCGGCGACTTTGAGTGACTTTGGCGACCCGCTTGCGATTCTTTACCCCGGCCACTGAGCACCATCCGCCGGTATGTGATCCTTTGGAATCCATCCTCGATACAGAGAGTTTTGATGAACATTTCAAATTAGACATGCAAAGGGTCTTGCTTGCAGAATGCGAGGAGCTGCTGTGTTGTTCCCACGATCAATCGATCTCGCAACATGCCCCCATGAGGTCATGGGCCGACAACCAAGCAACAATTGGCCAGGTTCATCAAATTATCAACAAATCCCAGGCACAGGCGGGTCTGACTCGCAGCGGACCTCCAATAAAGCTGATCATTTGGAATGCGCACTAAGAATAGTGTGGCGAATACATGGGGCATATCACGTGCAAGCCATGTAACCTTTGGGCCTACGTTGCTGGCAGCTGTAACTAACATACAATACGTGTATGATACAGGAAAAAACAAGTCCGTGAAGAGCAAGAAAAACCTGCATGACGGACGCTTCCAGGAGATGATGCTCGGAGGGTGGCGAAGCCGAAAGCTTGTTGCTATGGGACTAATTGATCGTTCATTTACGGAGCACTGAATCTTGCCCATATACGAAGTAGATCGCTGTTTATCCAATTATCTTTCCGACTTCGTAGTATGGTGTTCTCTACGGAGAATATCGCCGGCCAAAAATAAGGGTGCGTCCTAGCAATGATATTATTCAGGACCAGTCTGGACTCTGCAGCTGGAGCCTCACCTTTGCGAGGTCATTTGCATGGCGGCTACGGAATTGACTCTCCTAGAGTCTAAGACGTCGAAATACCTAACTCCACAGATCCCTGTCGTAATTCGCACATCGCAATATTGGGCCTCGACTTCCAGGTTATGCGTTCACAAAAGAATTTGATCAGCAAGTGGCCCTTATTGTTTGAAGATCTTGCGTGTTTCATCTCGTTCTGTTTCCAATTTCCTGGACTCGTCAATGTCATGTAGCCTCCAACGGGATCGGCACTCGGAAACAGAGTCTAGGGACATATCTAACTTTGTTGTTTGATGCCCTGTAGTCTATTCTCTATAGAGACTCGAGACTCGTCTCAGCAGCTCGTGGGATGATGCAAGCGTTCTGCTTTATGAACACGTATTTTCCTCAACACGTTCGTTGGCGCCACTTGTATCGAGTCGGTGGCTGATAAGGGGCTAGACCTTTAATCTTGTGTTTATTCGAGACGCAGATCATAACAGCTGGAGTCCGCGGGTGCCGTTCGCAACCCCTCGTGAAGGTGAAGCAGACTATGAATTTGTCAAGAGTTGATCTATGACACCACTTGCATCTTCCGTTTCCTCAGGAGGAGGCTGGTATCGCTCCAAGCCACCCACGAACATGCAAGAATGTCCAGAGCGTTGGCAGGGGTCACTTGCTCTAACATCCACTGGACCAGAGAAATCGCTTGATTCTCAAGCGCATTCATAAGCTATGAGCTAACCTTGTATATCGTACTCTGCCCGTCCAATGCAGGGACATTTGACGGGATCTCCCAAATTGACGCGAGATTCAGGGTTCAGCAAGGTGGCAGTTGTTTGACATTTCGGCACCGACCAGAGCGCGATTGGTTACAACAGAGCGAAGCTTTCGCGCATGAAACAGCAGATATAGCGGCACAGATTCTCGTGTTTCATCGGAGGCCGGCTCGCCTGTCATACGCCGTCACGGATGGCCCGTGGCAGCGGCACGATTCCAGCGACTGGGCATGAATTACTCCGAGTGAAAATTACTGAGACAATAATGATACTGTTCTAGGCCTTCGAGGTATGCTTCTCGGGGGTCGGAACAGATCTCGAAGCTTAGGCTAGGACCATGAATAGTGGCATCATACAATGATACAGAGTAGATGCAGCTCGAGCCTCGAACATGCTCAGGATCAAGACAGTGGATCCATGGGATACTTTATCCATACTCCGTACCAAATGCAAGAACCCGGTAGACTCAACGCCGACCGCCAACTCTAAACCAAGCTCCATGGACCATGGTCAGCGACTGGGCAACACCCTATCTATGTACGGAGCTTTCAGGTTTGCCGAGCGGGCCACGCACTCGGAGTTCCAAGTTGCAATAAGGATGATGCTTTCGTAAGGATGACACCGTGAGCTGCTTACTCCGCACCCCGGATTCTAATCGCTGAGAGCGTCCTTGAGCTCTCTTGTACTCAAAACCACACAAACAGGTCAATATAGTTGTAAGAGCAGCCCCAGCAACCAACCAGTTTCTATCCAAACATAAATCTGCTTCACCAAAATGGCCCTCCGCCGCTCCACCCGGCTGAGCGCGCTGCTTCCCCTCACATCAACATCAACTCCTCCAGCGGCGACACCAGCATCCCAACGCCGCAACGGAGTCACAAAAGCCCGGAAACCATCAACAAAAGAAAGACAGAAGAAGGCACAGACAATCGAAACTATACACTCGCACACTCAGTCCCTCACGGATCCAGATACTACCCAGCAAAACCCAGCAACGACTGCCCCTACCCTCCCGCCTCCCTCCGCGGCTGAAGTCAACATCAACGCCCACAATGGAAATTATTGGGAGAGTACACCGGTACAGAACAAACGCCCCCAAACGCCTCCCCCGCTCAACCGCCCCGTTGAACCGCACCGCACAAATGCAACCCTCCTAACCCCGCATGGCTCCTCCCTCGTCGCCTACCCGCCAGGAACAACAGGGACGGACATCTCGCCCTCGAAGCCGGGTCTGCCCCGGCCGACAGCAACAACAGGCACACTACTCGACAAGGCAACAGCGCACTTGATAGCGACAGATCTGCGCCTGGAGCCGCTGATTAAGGCGCATCGCTGTAGCCTGTTCTCGCCGGAGGGGTTGGCCGAGAAGATCGATCCGTTCCGCAGCTTGGTGGGTACGATCATCGGGCAGCAGGTTTCCGGGGCGGCGGCGAGGTCAATTAGGGAAAAGTTTGTGGCGTTGCTGTGGGGATTGAATCATACGGGTAATCATGAAGTGAAAGAGGCTGAGAACGAGGGGTATTTTCCTACCCCGGAGGAGATTGTCCGCGTTGATATGCCTACATTGCGGACGGCGGGCTTATCCCAGCGCAAGGCTGAGTACATCCACGGTTTGGCGGAGAAGTTTGCCAGCGGTGAATTGAGCGCAAGGATGCTACTGAATGCTAGTGATGATGAGCTGCTGGAGAAGCTGACTGCGGTGAGGGGATTGGGGAGGTGGTCAGTTGAGATGTTTGCATGTTTCACGCTAAAGCGGACTGATGTGTTCTCAACGGGAGATCTAGGCGTCCAGTAAGTCTCTTGAAGCTGGGCACTGCTAGTATAAATGCGCTGGGCCTGCTATCGCGGCTTTCGTTGAAGTCATTGACGCCGGTATAGGAGAGGATGTGCGGCCTTCTTGGGGAAGGACGTGAGTAAACTCAAGGCAAAAGGTGGTAAGTTCAAGTACATGTCCGAGAATGATATGTTGGAGTTGGCCGCCAGGTTCGCGCCGTATAGGTATGTTACCTCTTGAACCTCAGAGCTTGCAATATGTTGCGTCATGGCTGACATTACCTAGGAGCCTCTTTATGTGGTACATGTGGCGTGTAGTGGAAGTCGACGTTACTGTCATGAGCAAGTAAGCCAAGTGTTGCGGTCTTGGTCTTAAATCATAGCGAGGGACCATGCTTCAAGACTGCACCCGAAGATATAATCAGGCATAGCTAATATAGTGTATATACCCCGTTTCAGGCAGAAATGAGAATAAATTTGTACAGTATCAGTACACGTGGTTCGCACGGCATAATCCAAAGGCTCAAGCAACATTGGCGAATGCTCCACTCGACAGAACATGCAGCCGGAAGGAACAAATCTTGTATCGTCTTATCCCACACGTCTATATCCCCGAGGAGGGGGTTGTATTTTCCATGGCGTCATCACACGGAGCCATTTATTTCTTTCGGTTGACGACAAGGTTGTCAAGGTCGGCACGCTCGGCGTTCTCCTTCTCGATCTCGCGAATGATGGGGCTCAGGTACTCGACATCCTAGCGACGCAATCAGTATGAGCCATTGAGATCACAATTGCTTCCCAGAAGTCCATATCGTTCCATATAACGGCGTATTCGGGGCATTGATCCGTTGACAAATCCGGCTCACGGGATTGGCCGATGGATGCGGAGGCCTGGGAAAGCTATGGCGACGGAACGAAGCTCGAATAAACTCACCTCGTGGGGCTTAACGTGCTCCTCAGGGGGGAGAAGAGTGTGCGAGATAGAGCACTATAACAGCCGCTCGTGTCAGCGTATCATTCCTTCCAACCCTATCATATGGTGAAACCAACCTGGAAGGCTCTGCGGATACGGAAGATGCGGTCGTAGGCCTCCTTGGGAGGAAGACGCTTGAGAGCGGTCTGGACGGTGTCGCTCTCCTCGGGGATCAGGTCATCGGCCCTAATAATCATGTTAATATAATGTTGCATGCAAGCTGGTGGGAGCTTCGACGACCCCAGACAAGCGGGGATGACAGTATCCCAAGCAAGTCAGAGTCACAGCCAAGCAATGCAAGCCGCGCTCAAGCAACGAGTGCCACCCGCGCTTGTCCTAGAATCACCGCAAAAGAAGTGCGTACTTGAGACCGAGTCTTCTGTAGCCGGCGGCATCGGTGTACCAGTTGGCAATTGGCGTCATCCAGCGCTTCAACCAGGGGCGCTTGACGACGAAGTTGGTGAGAGAAGGGGCCGACATGTTGATAAGCCCGACGAGGAGCGATACGGAGTTCCAATTGACGGGGGTAGAGCGGAGGTGGTCGGAGAGTCAAGCTGAACGAGAGATGGCCCGACGTTGGTGTGCAAAACGAGAGGTTCGCGGGTGAGCCTTTCCAAAAAGATCCGATCTATGCCTGAGGCAGACATACAATACCTGCACGTGATCCGGTACTTTTGGTACTTTGTGCCTGAGGCGGGTCTGCGGACCTTCTCCGGCGAGAAACAAGTCCCAGAAACTGCTCACTTGAGGTTGTAGAGTGTGTATTACTCCGTAGGAGTCCGTAGGAGGGTGGTAGCATAAACCATGCACAACCCTTTGTAGACTACTCTAGCCCTTACGCAAGTCAAGCAACTCTGCGGGAATCGCGGTCCGCCCACATCTCCAACTCGACTGATTCAAACTCCGACACCCCATTTCTCGTCTCTCGTCATTCGACACCTGAGGCCGCAATTTCCCAATCATTTCACCCACGATATCCGTCTTCCGAGGTGGGATTGGGGCTCTCGATCTCTATATCACTTCTCCTTTTATCTTACTTTTCGCTCCCTGTCATAACTTGGGAACTCGACAGACCCCGCGACCTCGTCTGTACATCAGATAGGGCAACTTTAAACCCAGGCGGCATTGGCTCGCTCGTTAAATCCGATTCCTTGAACCTCCCTGCACCTGGCCGTCCTCCTCTACCCCACAAGATCTCGAATCAGCTCACAATTTCAAATTTCACCGCGGGTTTCTAAGTCCTTTGGGTTCCGGAGCGGGCACCGACATGCTCGGTTCCGGGATCCCTCATACGTGAATAACATCAAAACGGACAGCTGTGGAACTGCTTGAGCGCTGGCTGCAAGGATGTTTTCAGAAGAACACAAGACGTCAGGGACTTCCAGCGACTCGAGCAAGCAGCAAATGTCAACTCCCAATAGCACTGCGCCTGCAACCGTTCATATGCCCCCTACGGTTACGTCAAGTCCGAACTCCGCCCTCGTCAATCGCATCGAGCTCTTCGCCGCCCGTGCGCCGGACTGGTACGTCGCTCCGTTTTGCGGGGCCAGCGCAGGTGTGGCATCGGGGATTGTGACTTGTCCGCTCGATGTGATCAAGACGAAGCTTCAGGCGCAGGGGGGCTTCGTGCGGCGGGGGAAGATGGTGGAGGCGAAGACATTGTATCGGGGAATGCTGGGCACGGGGAGGGTTATCTGGCGTGAAGATGGTATTCGAGGCCTCTATCAAGGCTTAGGGCCAATGCTTCTAGGATATTTGCCGACATGGGCGGTATACCTAGCAGTTTATGACCGATCACGAGAATACTACTATGAGACTACTGGTGGGTGCTACCTCCGTCCGTCGCTGGCTCTCGAGCTTTTACTAAACTCATCATAGGTAGTTGGTGGCTATCGCGAGGATATGCTTCTATAACAGCGGGTGCCTGTTCTACCATTGCCACTAACCCAATATGGGTGATCAAGACACGGTTGATGTCCCAGAGCTTAAGGTCCACGACCGAAGGTTTCCGAGCTCCCTGGCAATACAGCGGGACCTGGGATGCTGCCAGGAAGATGTATAAAACCGAGGGTATTCTTTCCTTCTATTCAGGCCTTACGCCAGCGCTACTGGGTCTGGCGCACGTTGCCATCCAGTTCCCTCTTTATGAATACCTGAAAATGGCTTTCACCGGCTACAGCATCGGAGAACATCCCGATAATGGGAGTTCTCATTGGATTGGGATAAGTTGCGCAACATTTTTGAGTAAAATCTGTGCCAGCACTGTGACATACCCACACGAAGTTTTACGGACAAGACTTCAAACACAACAAAGAACCCCGCCATCCCCTTCACCCGAGGAGATTGCCTTTCGGGGTGGACTGGGTGGCATGGACCGCGGCCGTGGCGCCGGTGCGTCTTCATCAGACGGCATGCCCAATAGACCTCGCTATTCTGGAATCGTCCGTACATGCCAGACGATCCTGCAAGAAGAAGGCTGGCGGGCGTTCTACTCCGGGATTGGAACCAATCTATTTCGAGCTGTTCCCGCTGCCATGACTACCATGCTCACATATGAGTATCTCCGAAAGCTCTTCGGGCACTTAAAGCATGAAGGAGAGTTGAAGCTCAGACTGGAGGAGGAAAAAGACTCCACAGGCACAATATAGCTGACTGATTTATGATATCCCTACCGATTCTTTCATCCTTGAATTGCCGCTGCAAGGCCAACTGCCTAGAAGGCTTGATATATCCGCTATCATTGTCTTTGGGGCGTATAGCTCATATCTTACCAATTACAGCCAACCCTCGAGCGGGTCTTGCTGTTTCTTCGGCTGTTTTCTTATGTCTACGGTGATATGATAGAGTGATGGGGCTCTGATTTCGCATCACCAAGATTTCTGTTTATGAGCGCCGTTCTTACTACCCCATAACTTACATTACGCGCCTCGAAATGTACATATGAGATGAACATCGCTATCTAGGCGTATTGTTTCCTGCTCTAGTATTCACCACTTTCAGAATGCAAGGCAGGGTTCCAAGTGCGGAGTGCGTAGGCAGGATGTAGCGAACAGAATGAGGGCACGTGATTTATTTCCACACAAATATCTTTTCCGAAAACTTGCCAAGTTTGACTTCCATGCAACCAATTTTTCCTTCCACTTCACGTTTTATTCCACAATTGCACTATCAAGGGACCAAGATGCTCTACATTCTGTGGAATAATCAAGTCATTCAGGCCTCTTGCAATCTCGGCGTTGAAGTCTTGATCAGAAGCTATATTGCTCCCAAGCCAGACGGCTGTTCGAAAGCGCAAACTGGATTCTCAAGATAAGGTTCGTTCTTGAGCTTGCCCTACATCTCGTGGGATGCTACTGGGGTTCATCATGGGAACACAGCGCAAAATGCATCCACCGGTGAAAATGCATAAGCCATTGTAGCTTTCAAAAGAGAGCTCAACTACGATTCTTCCACGGCAGAACGCAAAAATCGCTCAGAATTTCAGTCCCTGAACTAGAGTCGTTTGCGTGATCTAGTACATGACCAGTGTCTGCGGCTTCCTCGAGCCGCGGATCTTTCAGATGCACAGTTCCTTCCCTCGCAACGCCAGGTCCGATCCGAGCGGTCGCTGTGCTTAATGCACACCTCGAATCGGTTGAGGAACGTTGCGCCTACGCGAAAATAAACACCTTCTCCACGACGGCCGCTTTCCTGCCTCACGATCTGGTTTGGGCGTTCTGGCCTTCGTTAAGCATAACTACCTTCATCCTTTGTTGAATTGCGGTCAGACCACGGGGCTCCTTCCTTGCACGTTATCTTTCAAGTTGGCAGGATAGGTATGTGCGGACCCGATGGTCCAGGGGTTGACCTCGTTGTCGGCCATCTGGTCCGCCATAGGGAGGTAGGGCTGGATATATTTTTACATCCCAGTCGTTCGCGGTTCGACTCCGCTTTGCGTCGTGCGACGCCCATTCTTTGCGCCTTACATCTGATATCTAGAAAGGCTCTTTGATCCTTACCATCTTAAACTGATGGTGTGATTGGATCCCCGCTGGCTATTCTTGTGGCGTCAGGCTGGAACCACGCCTGTCTTCTCTGCTCGCTATCATGCCTTGGATGCTTTGGTCACTGCATGGATGCCCTGGCTAGTCAACCCCCAGCACCGCCAATCTACGTTTGAGCGCTTCACATGTTGTTACGCGCCTACTCGATCTTGAGTCGCCACGATATATCTTCTCGGTCCTGACTTTAACTGAAATCAGGTAAGAATTCCCGCGAAAACCCCCGGTTTGACACACTTGCATGTTCCCATTCCCTTCTACTCTCGAGACTACCATGATGAATTTTTACATCTACGGAGATCTGGTCTTGTCAAGAACAAGCTGGATATGACCATTCATACACTGAAAATTCTGATCCCGATCTCGTCTCCTATACCTTCCTCTTGCACGTCTTTTCTCGGTCCATGCTGACATGTTAAAGATCTTCTAGGTAAGAGCGACCCGACCCGATCCGGCGTAGTATTAGTTCATAGGCAGGTAGTATGGATATAGTTCGTAGTCTCCTCAATCGCCAAATCAAGCACATTTTTACTAAATCTGTCGAGTAGCTAGTCATATACAAGCCGAAATATAACGACCTGAATTAATGTTGATACCAGATGTAGCCCAAACACCATCTAGCCCGAGACATCAAAGCATGGCTTGCAATTATATACATTCAAACAAAACAACCCTCTCCAGAAGCCCTGCGAGACTCTATACCTGTACCGCCTATCCTTTACTTTCCTTCTCCTCATCCAAGGCCCTCTTCACCCAGTCATCCTGCTTCAGTCTTCGTTGCGGCAGGCTCTCAGCCGTGGCCTGACCATGCGCCCCCCTCCTCGCAGAATTAATCGAGTAGATGCAGTAAGAGCACAGCACGACGGCCATTGTGAAAGCCGCAATGGGTGCATTTAGAGACTGCACCTGGTTAGTATACCGTTGCACTAGGTTGGTGCACTGAGAGAGAAGGAACGAGGGAAATGGCTTGGTTTGGTTTGGTTGCTTACGCCCGAGGAACGGCCGAGGGATTTCTTGGACATTGCCTCTTGTTTTTCAATATGCGATTTAAAGGCTTTTGTCGTGATTATATTAGGTCTTGTCCAGTTGCTTGTTGTTTGCTAGATAGACGAAGTCGTTGTAAAGTGGTTTAGTTGGAGGTGCCGAGACGGGCTTTGTGAGGTTTGGCCGTGTTTAGGGCGAGCTAGTCATAAGGCATGGGCGAAGTGCAGGACATACAAACAGAACATATACTTGTGTGCCATTAGTTGATCATGATTTACAATTAATGCAGTCCTATATACATTCTTCTAGCGCAAGTCTAAACATAGCAAAGTGAGAGTAGATGGCGAGATTTCAAGGAAACAAAAGCGGATTGTCTAGAAAAGATGTAAGAAAGCTGTAAGAATAAAGAAGAAGGAAAACACTGGAGAACGCCTCGCCGTGATGCACAGCTATACCAAGAAGACCAATTAATGTAATACAATAGGCAGTGGGATGTACTTATGAACGTCACGGACTACACAAGTCCCAACCGACTCTTCAGCGAGAGCACAGCCTCGTACACAGAGAGCTTGAGCTCTACACGTAGAAACTTTGTCCAGGCACAGAGGAACCGCCAGAAGTTTGATGGGCGCAACAGCCCACCGCGCTCATTGATAGTGTCCATCTGCTCTTCGAAGACGGTGCGAGTGGCGTAGCGGGCGAGAATGAGAAACGTCCGTACGGGGCCTTGGCGAGTGTGAAGGTTCTCATCGAGACTGCGAGCTGTAAATGCGTCAGTAAAGCTAAATCCAGAGTGGAAAGAGGAGAATTTACTAAGGTCGTTTGTTTTGAGGATTAGGAGCATGATTCGGGGCACCTGGCCCAGAAGTTCTACCAGCTGCTGGAGTAGGCCCTCACCGAGAGCACCGGAAATGCTTTCCTTCTCCGCTTCTGTCCGCGATGAAGCAATGTTCTTTTTCGTTAGAACGGTGTAGTCGCGTCCTGTTATTGCGCTAGCGAAAAGAGGAAACTGCTCATCCGTCACGCCGGCAACCTTGCGCGAGTACTCCCGCATGCCAGCCTCGTCCGCTTCAATCACAGAAAGCCAAAGCTTTGCGTAGTTGCGGCGAGTATCCCGAGGGATATCACGGTACAGGCCGTGGTCGTAGAGGATGATATCGAAGTTGTGACCACTCCGGCTAGGGTTCTTGCGGATGGCAATGTTCCCGCCGTGAGGATCACAATGCAAGGGAGCGTTGTCACCGAAAATCATCTCATTGAATATATGAGCAAATGCCGCTGAAACCTCATCCCGATCGATATGGTTGGCGTCTAGGAAATCTAGGTCATCGGGTCGAGCACCCGACAAGAACTCCATCACAAGGATGCGCTTTTGCGCCCACAGAACTAGAGACGTCAGAGAACTATACACACTCCTACATGGAAAGGAGAAGGGTACCTTCTGGAATCACTAGCGGGGCATCTGAGTGCATTTTGAAATATTCGCTGGCCCGGGTTGCATTATCCGCCTCCATGCGAAAGTCCAACTCTTGCGGCAACGAAAGATCCATCTCCTTCGAGAGCCATTCCAAGTCATACTCCGGAAAGAAGCGCTTCAGCATTGAGAACGTAAACCTTGTCAGCGCTAGGTCGAGCGGCGCCCATTCTGCCAACGCTGGATGCTGCACTTTTACCGCAACCTTCTCGCCGGTTTTCTTCAATGTCCCAATATGTACTTGCGCCAATGAAGCGGCACCAATCGGTGTCGACTCGAACGTCGCGAAGAGCTCATCAATCCGTTTTCCAGTATCCTTGACGAACATTTCCTCGATGGACTCGATCGACGAAACCGGGCATTTATCTTGGAGAGGGATAAAGGTAGTCGTCCATTCCAGCGGAAGCAGGTAGCCCATGCTACTCAAATGTTGACCAAGCTTGATAAAGATGGATCCATTTTTTTCCAGTACGCGCAGGGTCCGCTCGGCGCAACGCTTGTGGCAGGCTTGAATCGCTTCGCTTCGTTCCTCGGGCGTTGCGGTTTCTTGTTTGAGGGTCACTCGGTAGCTATATTGAAGCTGCATCAGTAAAGAATCATGTCTCTCCATGATTGGCTGACTTACTCGTTGATACAGACCGCTAACGTGCCAACAACCCTCCCCGTTCGCGCCGCAGCGCGATAGGCATGTCCAACTTCGTCAGAAAACACGAGTGTGCCAACGACAATAGTCCCTCCAACTATTCCATATTTAATCCACTTCTTTCCAGACCGACCAGCCTCAGAATGCTTTCCGTGACCACCGACCGTTTGTTGCGCTTCAGATCGAAAGGAAGTTTTCGTCGAAAAGGGCGTTTGGAATTCGCGTGCCGGGAAGTGCGCCTTATTCGGCTGGGTCGAGCTAGATACCCACCTGCAAAGCAAGGCGTGCGAACTCTGAAATGGAAGCTCCCTGGGAGCACAGCTTGAAGCAGTAGCAGTATATCGAAGGACGGCCGCCGGGTCACCGAGAGCCCGTAGTGGGGTGCGGAGCGCCGCTCTCATGCCGGGCACGAACAATGCCGTAGAGACAGCGACCACGAGTCAAGGGGAAAAGAAGGCCAGGTGATGGGTTCATCCGTACCCTAAGGCCATTGGGCGAGAGACGGAGGAGTAGATAGGAAGTTCTGCAAGGAAGGAGAGAAGGGAGAATGAGCCGATGGCGGAAGAGACAAAAAAATTGCCGCGTGGCCGTTGCGACGCGGATCGTGGCATTTTCGCCCCAGCCCGGGGCTCGCCGCGGCCATCACAGTAGATACAGCGGTCGTCGGAAAGAATATCCATTTGATATAGAAAGACTGCTACTATTTACAGGAACTACTGTCCAGACCGCAGATGCACCAAATGCCGTGCCCTACCAGCCAGGAAATCAATTGAGGATTGTAAACCCAAAGAGACTAAACCATGCACAGGCGATGAAACAGATGAAAACAACGCCGCCAATGCGCCTATAAAATGCATGGACTCGTAGAGTCTTGATATGAAGCACGACTATCCACGAGTCCTTTCCAACAAAAAGAAAATATAGCGCATTAATAGACATTTTGTCCACGGCCCTGCCGATTAGGGCCCTCGTTCTGCCTCGAACTGCGTCAACCGTCGGCGTCTTGGGAGAATAGACGGCCGACGAGATATAGAACTCGATGGTCGATTATCGTCCTCGGGAAGCAGGTCAACGTGCGATAACCTGTTGGACACTCCGCGAGCTATCCGGCTTCGTGAGGGACCGGAACTCCCGTTTACACCGATACCCGTTGTCGGCCCATCTCTGCTCCCAGGACGGAGAGCCAATGCAGAGCCACTGATCGCAGACCTTGGGCGCCGTTGCGTTTCCCTACCATCGAAGTAGGCTTTTGGCTGGCCTTGTCTACCCAACTGCGGTGTCACAGGCGCAGACTGGTTGACAAAGTGACCTGGAGGCGTCGCAGACGTACTCCCTCGTCTAACATTTGGTTTCAGCTTACCAAGTCCGTACGATTCACTTCGCTCGTTGGACTTGATTAGCTTTCCAGCCATATCACGGACAAGAACCGCAGGGTCATGCTCTAGCTCATGGATTGCCTCCAACAGCCCGTATCCTGCAAGTAGCCCACCCTGATGTTCGCTAGCATCGCAGATGCTGGATATAATGCGCAGAAGGTTCAAGCGGACCGCGGCCTTGGCGTGGTGGAGTTTCTGCCCTATCCTGCTGAACAAGTCTGGGCGTGCAAGAGTCGAAGCAATGGGAGGACTGAGCCTCAGAAGTTTTTGAAGGGGTTCAAGGATGTTCTCAAAGGCATTTGCTTTAGATAACGTCAAGCACCTCACAATCGCGTCAGTAAATGATGGCTGGTCGTAACGATTCTCCAATAAATGCTCTTCCACTTTAGCCGTCTCTTCCTGGAGCCTGTCCTGATAATTAGCTTGCGAAATATCTTGCAGATAGAAACGCCACACACCATATGAAAATTGCGTCCAAAGCTGTCACTTGCCAGTACGGGTCAGCAAGTAATGAGATGTAAAAAGCAAGTCCCTTATTTCGCCACAACTCCCGACGGCCAACCTTTCCAGAATGCGCCATATCGCACAGGATAGGCAACGCAAACTCCTTGAGGGGACTTCCGGTCTTTACAATTTTCTGGAGCAAAGGCACAATGCCGTTCAAAGCGGCATCTTCTTGTCGGGACTTGTTCAGGCGGCACATATTATAGATTGTGTTCAGGATCTGGTTAGAAACCTCCCGGAAATGTGGTCGCTTCATAGTAGACCGCAAGAGATCTGTAAGAACGTCAATTGCGTTTGAGTTCTGAAGAGCGTCGAGTGTTGTTGACAGCATAGACAGATTCTTAATGAACTTCAGCATAGTTATCTGGTGGGCGGGCGTCATACGCTTCAGTTCTTTCAAGACCCCTATGCTATAGTCAGCGACAGGAAATACAATGCAGGGCTGGGCCGTCTTTACTATGTAGAACCGTGCGCTCAGAAACCATTTCCTTGACATGGTTCTCGGCCTGCGAAAAGATGAAGAAGATATTTGCAATACGGCCTTCCACAATCCCGGCCAACTCGCCTTCTTCATCCAACACCCGGCTCAGAACAAGGGACAGCGGATCTAAAACAGAACTGCGTGACAAGATTCTGCAAAAGTCATTCTTTGGAGTCGAGCCCTGCTTGTCATTAGTATCACTTCCTTTGTTATGGAATAATATTTTGTCCCACCTGTAACTCGAAAACACTCCAGATACCGTTAACTCCCACCAGGACAAGGTCCCGTTCGTCCTCGTAATCGTCCTCTAGGAATTCAACTAGCACATTCAGGCCACCCGCACTAACAAACATCTGGAGGGTCAGTGTTGACGTTTGGTACATCTGCTGCACAAATGCTGCCGCCTCGAGTCGTATCTCTCGAGGATATTTTTTCGCAGCAAATTCGTTAATAATGGGAATACCTCCGACGAAGCAAAGATTCTCCTGTATCTCGTAATCATCATAGATGATTGCATTGACAATTTTCAACAAGCACAAAGTAATGTCGCGACGACGGCATAGATCAAGAATCTCCAATATTGGCAGCATGCCATGAGCACTGATGATGATATTTTTCGTCTCTGGGAAATCGCAGAAGACGGCCAAGAGTTGCTCGGATATATCTCCAAGTACCTCTTCGTCTTGCGACGTTTTCAAAGAACCGACCAACCCTTCAACTTGGTTACGTAGTCGGGCATGCTTGTCACGGGCGATATTAGCTTCGAGGTCCGTTTCGTCGAGGCCTTCCTCAAGCTGCGCGAAAGGATCATCCTCGTCATCCAAGTCTCCTAGCCAAGAATTGTTCGACAACTTCGTGTTTAGCATTAAGGTGCTCTTAGTTGATCCGTCGTCGCTTTCCGCTTTGTCTAACGTGACCCCATCGACGCCTAGAATATCAGAGAAGTCTTCATCGTGTTCGTTCTCGGCAAATTGCTGGATTTCGACTGTCCCCCGGTATCGCTTAACTGATATCTGTCTTCCGAGCTGGGGCGAATCTTCTTGCTCGGATGAACTCTGATACCGAACAACTTCCCTGGACCTTGCCGGCTCTGGCGAGTCCCTATTGTCATCGCTCTCCTGAAAATCGTCAGCCAAGTAGTCACGTTTCCAGCAAGGGGCCGAGACTTACTTGGAAAGCACTAATTTTGCGGTCAAGGACGTCCTCATTAGCTGAGATGATATCGGAATAATCTTCGACCGAATTTTCCTTATAGAACAACGGCGGACGCTGTTGCCGTATAGGCGATGACGAATTCTGGCTCGCTTGTCCGCCATGAGTTGGGTTTATGGCGGTATTTAGAGGCGGGCCCCGTCGCATTTGCGCGCCGTACGGTCCGTTCTGAGGCTGCGATATTCCTGCGTTTGCCTGCTGCGATGGCGAAGGTCGAATAGTCTTCAGTGGGTCATGTTCTCCGGCCTGCAGAGACCTTCCAAAGGGGTCATCGATGTCCTCAAAGCTATCGTCGGACTTTAAAACTGTACCATCAAGCGAGGCAAATGCCTTTAATTTCTCAGAAGAAAGCATGCCTCCGAAATTGTCGTGCGGACGAAGGTGAGGCAGCTGCAGTGCACTCGGTGAGATGGCAGTAGCAAAATCATTGTCCCAGTTATCTTCTTCAGAGCTAGGGGAACTAAACCTGTCCGCAACATTTCTGGAGACCGGGCTCGGAAGCGTAACTTTGGTTGGAGTATACCGAGTGTCGAGCCGCAAGGACGGTGGGTTCTGGTTGTCGCCTCTATTACCTCTCTTCAGGGTACTTGACTCCGGTGAACGTAGAGCCTCATTCCACTCCTGTACACTTTTCACTGCCTCTTCGTATTCGGTTGACTTTTTTGGAACTACCGAGTCAGACCTTCGAGCGTTCACGATCCACGGGTGCTTTAGAAGCTTTCGCGCAGACACACGAAGATTGGGGTCTTTCTGGAAACACTGCATCAAGAAATCTTTGACTGCCTTTGCAAGTATTAGTCAAGGGGCATGGAGACAATGGGCATGCAGCAGACTCACTGGTGAAGCACCTTGCGGAAGGGGTGGGTGATCGTCATGAACGATGCGGAAAAGAGCCTGCATTGGTTGCAGGTTATAATACGGGGGCTTTCCTTCCAGCAACTCGATGACAGTGCATCCAAGACTCCATATGTCAGACGCCGTTGTTGCTCCAGTCAGCTCGATCACTTCAGGAGCCATCCAGTATGGCGTTCCAACAACGCTTGACTCGTTTAAACCGGTCGTTCGGCTAGCCACACCGAAATCTGCCAACTTGACCAGGCCTTCTTTTGTGGTAAGAATATTTGCACCCTTGATGTCTCGGTGTATGACACCCTGATCGTGTAGGTAAAGAAGACCGTGGAGAACTTGAGACATATATACACCCACTAGGGTCTCAGGGAAACGGCCGAAGTTTTTGGCGATAGAGTGCAGAGAGCCATTCTCACAGTATCTAAGCCGTTAGCTGCTATGACTTATTTTTCCCCTCCTGAGCCTGAACATACTCAAGAATGATGTTCAAAGTTTCGGCCGATTTGACGAAACCCTGGTACTTCACGATATTTGGATGCTGTTGTCCATCAAGTCAGTGGTTGCGGCAAGTGTAGGGGCCACCAGTATCAGACACGTTGCGTCATACATCTAAGTTCTTCAGGAGATCGATCTCGAGCTGTAGCACGTATGTTAGCACGTAAAGCGAGCACCGTCGGGGTCGGCATCGTACCATGATGACCCGCAATTCACTCTTTGGAAGGTCCGCAAGCTTTATTTGTTTGACCGCAACTGTTTCCCCGGTGTTCCAGTTCAGAGCTCTGTACACAGACCCGAATGCACCACGACCCAAGCAATCACCCAATTGCTTCAAAGAACATCGTCAGTTACAATAACTAGACTGGCGACATAGGGGCCAAGCGTACATAATCTTTGAGCTCCGCAACATCTTTTGCGGAGGTCTTCCCCATCCTGTCATCTTTTGTTCTCTCGTCTCGTTTCGATGGGCTGGATCCGAGTCTTGTGAGGCGTCCTTTTGCGGGTATGCCGGACGTTCTGGACGCCGGATAAAGCCCTTCAGGCCCCTCGTTAGACCGAGACACCATGGCCGGCCAGGGTCAAAGCAATTTTCTATGATGGCACTCGACTCAATCCGAGTGTCGTCCTAGGCTGTAGGATCTCGAGCGCGGAGGAGGGGAGCGGAAAAGGCAGGCGCCGGGGAATCGATCGGATGGCTCATATCAGCACACTCGCTATGGCAGCGTAAATTGTCAGTAATAGTCGAGAGATCAGCTAATTAGACAGAGAGGTAGGATGAATGTATATCTGACTGGGTTTAGGCAATTCAAGTCGTGGGAGGGAGATAGAAAAAGACATACCGGAGGGATCCTTGTTCCTTCAATTGCGAAGCGGCGCTGAGAAAACGCGACAGGCCACATGGGGTCCTGACACCTTTTTTATCTCGGTCAGAGCCACGGATCGCCAGCGGTAATTCAGGAACAGGGATAAGAATCAAGCAGCCAGCAGTAATCCCTAGTGTTGTTCCCTGGGAGCTGAACCTTGGGAACAATAATTGACTAGCGGATGTTTTGATCCCTCTTTGAGTCTCCACAGGCCGCCACTATTTGAACTTTTGAAGCATGACGCACTGGCTGGCTGCTTGTGTACTCCGATCAGCCTTATCAGCCTAATGCTTCTAGAAACAACTAAACCCGTTGAGATATCGGGTATTTATGAGACACGGGAGGGATTATCTACTCGGATCATAAAAAAAAGCACGGGTGCGCTTGGGGTCGAGAAGCATCGCTAATATACGTTTATATCTTTGTAGGTTTGGCATTATACTTTCCAAAAACGCAACTGGCGATTTCGCAGAGAAACGGGCCATTAGCAATGTAACTTCCGGTACTAAGGCGCATATCATCATTCATGAATCATTAGCTCCTCTGAGTAGACGCAAAACATCGGACACGAGGTAAAGACTCCCCGCGATGACCAGAGGCCCGCCGCCTGCCCTGCTACATGCCCAATCAAGTGCGCCTTGAATATCCCCGTCAAATGATTGTACCTTCCCTATTCCCGGAATGTCCTGGACACACGAACACAGTTCAACAGGGTCAGCGGCCTTCACCCAAGGCATTCCATCAACGGGACCAAATCTCGTTATTGCCACATCATCGCCGGGCCTCATAATCGAGTGAAACAGTGGGCGGATATCTTTCCCATGTGATGCTGCAATGGCCCAAGTGACATTCCTTGCCAGCGGGCGCATTTTGCCATCAACATATTCCCCAAGAACCTCAGCCGACTGGGCATTGTGGGCACCATCCAACAGGACCGGCTCTTTGCGGTCGGTGAGAGGTTGCAGGCTAAGTTTTTGTAAACGGCCTGGCCATTGCACGGAAGCGAGCCGGGGAATTGAGGCGTTAGCATCGAGCCCCGGCCGCATCTGTCGCAGGACGGCTTTCAAAGCAGCAGCGGCACAGGACATGTTCGCTTGCTGGTGTGGTTGTAGATCATGTCGCCGGAACAAGTCGACAAGTGCAGGTAACTCAGCATCTGGGAAATCCGGATGAACAATAGTAGCTTCTAGGTCAAGCTCCGCGATGCGGTCTTTAATGGCTCCTATGGCCTCCGGGCAGTTGGTGCCGTCGACGACACATTTGACCCCAGGCTTCAATATCCCGGCCTTCTCTCGGGCAATCTCTTCGAATGTGTTTCCTAGGAAGGCCTGATGGTCCAGACCAATCTTCGCAATAACCGAAACCAAAACATTGTTTAGGACATTTGTGGCATCCAAGCGGCCGCCCATGCCCACTTCGACGACCCCGATCTCGACTTGCTCATGATTGAAGATCTCAAAAGCTGTTGCCGTCAACAGCTCGAACTCGCTTGCCCCAATGCCCAATGTTTGATCCCGTAGCTTCACTCTGGCCTCGATCTGTCGAAAAAGCGATTCCTGAACAACCCGTTCATCGATTGTGATGCAATCCCAGCGATCAATTAGGTGCGGCGAGGTGAAGCGGCCGCAGCGAACACCTCCGGAGGTCAGAAGATGCGATAAATACGCACTGATTGAGCCTTTGCCATTTGTGCCGGCAATATGAATGGCCTTCCAGGACAACGGGGTTTGTTGAACAAGGCGAGATATCCGGCTCAGACCAAGCTCAATCATTCCGCCGGATGTGCAATGTGCGACGAGAACTGGGAATTAGCCTTCATGGTCGGAATATAGGGAAGAACTCCAAGTTGCCGTCAGCTTGATCATTTTCCCGCGGAAAGAGCTCTTATCGATCCCGATAAGATGTTATGCCTGAGGTGTCAGTCTGCGTCTCAATAAAGAAATGCCATTAGAAGAGGCAGAATGAAGTATCAGAGCATTCTTGATGATCGAGTCATTCTATGTGATACAAATCAGACCAAACCCATGATTGGTAGACAACAAAACCATGCTCTGACTCTCTGAGTGCTGCCCTCGGAGCATTTGAGGGCAGAAATCCAGCTTTATTGGCGGTGGAAGCGCGAGTATTGCGCCACATTATTCCAGGCTGTCCAGCCTCGTCGCGCTCCAGCCTCAGCCTCGTCCGCCTCCGCTTTTTGCCTTTAGGAGCAAAATTGAATCCGTTTCTCCATCAACTCCCGCACCCGACCCCATCATCGCGTCGTCGTCTTTCGGCACCACACTCATTTCTAAACGGTCGTGTCAACGGCGCTTTTTTCGTGAATAATTTTTGCGACGCTGAAACTAGGAAATTCGCAGATATGGGCATCCCGTGAGTCTCTCGCCTACCCCTCGGAAACTGTCAGATTCCGCGCGCTTCAAAGCGCCATGCGGTGCGGTGCGCATAGAACAGATAGCCTGACTGACGTCCTCTAGTATGTACCGTGAGCCTTCGTCCACCGAGGCCACCAAAAGCGATAATGTCAAGGACTCCTGTGCCGCCGCGCGCTCTGCAATTCGTCGCCAGGGCGCCGTTCGCCGCTCCCGTTATGGTGGTTCTGGTTGGCGTAGTACGACTCTGCGCTCCCCGTTTCCTCGGCCCCAACTCGATGAAATAGAGCGCGAGGCGAGCGGCTTACCGCGCCATTCACACTCGCCAATTTCGATTCCCCCTCGCCCTAGCGACCCGTTTGACCTCAACAGCAGCTTGGCTGACAATGGTCGACGCCTGCGAATGATTGATGACGCCCTTCATCGCAACCGTTCAGGGCATCGGCTGCGAATGCCTCGAAGCTCGACTTTCTCTGATCTGTTGAACCCGCTTCCTCCTTCGGCGGGCGACGCGAATACCCGATTGGAACCTCATGATCACCTTCATCTCACCCCGCGATTTGCACCTGCCATCGCATACCATAGATCTTCGACGCCGCTGGCCGGTTCAGATCTTCTTCGGCGGTCACCTCTGTCTCGGCATGAAGGCCTTGGGGAAGAAGCCCAGGCTGGATCGTTCATACCTTCATTGCGACGTGTTGGCCAGCGCTCTTTCAACGACACGAACCTAACCAGCCGCGGGCCACCCATCGATGGCCTAGGTGACCGCCAGAGGAGCGTGGACTTGGAAGATGACCATGCAAATGACGCTTGGGAGACTCTTTTGACTACGATAGCACCTGACGCAAACCTCCCCAGTGCGGATTCCTCCTTTAATTCCGCATCGGCACCAGGGACCGATGGCTCGCCTAACGAAACTTCGAGAAGCTCTGCAACCTCGCTTGAGCCCATTCAGAACTCCCTTCATCCAACAGTTCCTACGATCCAGATGACGCTTGACCCTTACCAAGAATATACACACCCATGTGACTACCCTAGTTCCACAGATACGGATACAGAGTCGGACGGTGAAACAGTCACCCAACGATCACTATATCGGCGCTACCGCCGTAGTAGGCGGCAGTACGAGTCCTTGAGACGCGCAAGTAACCGCCAGTCGCTTACGAACAATCCTACTTCGATCCCCACTATATCGTTTGCATTCTCGGATTCCTCGGGAGACCAGGATCTGCAAAATATGCAAGCCATCCTTGATCGTCTTGCTCGTCGTGAACCTATCCCCGATGACTGGTGGGCAGCAACTGGGTTGTCTCGTACCATGGATCAGAGAGCAGGGGCAGGCGATGAGGTAGTAGACAACTTTCCAGGGCCGGACGGACCTGTCGGACATGGTTGAAAACATCTACTCGTCACCCAACCGCCTGGGTGGCGGTATCGTTTTTCTTCTCTTTCTCTTCCGATGTATTATGTATGCATTGCTTCATTTATATTTGAACGGGGCATCTATTTTGAACAGGTTTTAGCGGGCAGGATATCATTGTGGCGTTTGTGGAGTCTGATTCATGGGCTACTTCTACTAGGCACTTGTGGTACTTGATGATGTTTATGATGTTATCCACCGGATTAAGATCGGTTTCATTGTACAAAATATCCTGTATATTCTATGGCGGAGACAAACTGTGGGAGTATGCCAATGACATGGATAAGATGTGGACTTACTGGGATCATACTTGATATAGCAACTTGCGGTATTGGAAAGCCCTTGAGGATATCTATGCGGGTTCACCATTAATGCGACCCCGGATGTCTTAGGAGTTTTGTTACCGATGTCGGAATTGTACCGAGCCCTAGACGAACGGCCGAGGCAAATGTGAAGTTTGTGTACTAAGAGGATGGGCGCTAGTTCTATCTTGTACATGTAGGCCTTCTTCACTCTTATAGCTATATTTGCCCGGCTCTATGGTATAGACGAGGATAATTAGTCCTGGCGCTGAGGAGATGCTCCGACGGAGCTCATCGCTCCAGACCCCGTCATACCCCACTCTGACGACAGTCCCCGCTCGCCGCGATTATTTATCAGGATTGCTTTGATCGTCATGAGCGAGGATATGCTGTTTGGTCTGAGCATTCTTTAAACCCACTATACCTTCATGGAGGTTCCGATACAATCAAGCACAGCTGATACATTGAGTACCGACGTTGTCAACAATACCGTAATTTCTGCTGCATGCCTCAACTATTGCAAGCTACTCGCCGGACCGAAACCTTGAATTCCCTCGCTGAGCTCATACACCTCCCTTCTATACATCCTATTCCACACATTCATCCCGACCATGGACTCACAAGTAGCCCGATTAGTCGATAAGATCTGGGGTGAGCTTCAGCATTTTGATCCTAGCACTTAACTCGCGAAGCGCCGGCTAACATAGACCGGACTTGCAGCGAAATTCCAGGATACGCCTGAAAATGCCCGCCTACTTGTTGCAGTCAGTGGAATCCCCGGTTCCGGAAAGACCGAGCTTGCGATTACAATGGCAAAACGGATCAATGAATTACACGGCGGACAAAACAACGGTCTAATCGCTGCTGCAATCCCCATGGACGGATACCACCTCACACGCGCACAGCTCGCTCAAATGCCTGATCCAGAGTACGCGGCCGCACGACGAGGCGCAGCATTTACGTTCGATGGGGAGAAGTTCTTAGCCTTAGTTCGTGCGCTGCGCGAGCCATTAACAGCCGAAACGCAAACGTTGCATGCGCCCAGTTTTGACCACGCAGTCAAGGATCCCGTGGACAATGATATCCCCATTGCTGCTGCGAGACGGGTTATATTCTTTGAAGGAAATTACCTGAGTTTGAATAAGGAGCCGTGGAGCTCGGCGGCGAAGCTGATGGATGAGCTGTGGTTTGTGGATGTTGATTTCGATACGGCACGGCAACGCTTGATCAAAAGGCATGTTAAGGCGGGGATAGCGAAGGACGAGGCTGATGCCGAGAAGCGGGCGAACGAGAATGATCTGGTCAATGGACGAGAGATTGTGGACTGTAGGCTTGAGGTGCAGGAGGTTATTCAGAGCTCATATGATCCCAAGTGGGAGTACTGATGCTGTACGAAGTATAAATAATGAAGTGATGATTAGACTTGCCTTCTGATACTCAATTGATACAAGAACTCTGGCTTTGATATTGGATCTCTCACGTAGCCTGACTGTGTCTGGCCTTTTTTCGGCAACGGTATAAATATATATATAGCGGTTATGTCGATCTGTGCAATACAGCCCATTACGCTGCCCTGAATTAGAGACAAGCTTAGATTTATGGGCGTAAGTATTACATCCCGCCCGCTGCCGATGGTTTGAGCTGCTTCGGGCTGCTTTTACGCCGGACCTGTTGAGAAGGATCCATATGCACTATGGTTGGAACTCGTAAGCACTTAGGTATTCAGGCTCTCCGGACAACCCAGCTCGTATACAAATATAGCGACAGGAATATCCCTTTTGTGCTTGGAATGAAGTATCATACAATATCAGAAGACATTTGAGAAGCGGAGTCATCCTGATCTGTGAATATGAGTTTGTTGCCTGAGGCACCCAGGGCTGAATCAGGGACTCAGGGACGAGAGATCGGCAGGGCTCTTACCTCATTGGGCGAAACAATATCCGCTGGGGTCGACCCTTGAATTCCTTGTTATCCTCCATCACCGGGTTCGTTATCGTCGCTTCAAGTTCTCATCTTCAACTTTTCAACTCTTTGAACCAGTGTCTGTCCCTCGTTTAACAGACCTTTGTCTTTCCTTTATCAAATCCACGCTATCTGCCTCTACTACTCCAGTCATTCCTTCATAAATCTCTACATCGGCGATCCCAGTGATTCCCCTGACTCCTGAGCCAATTTATATCAGTCCCGCCTCCATTCTTTTGTCACAATGCTCTTCACAAAGTCCACTGTGCTTGTCGCTCTTTTTGCCCTTGGCAAACTCGTTGCTGCTGCTGGCACCGGCACGCCTGCCTGTCTTCTTACTGTTGTGGGGTAATGCTTGATAGCCGCGATCGCGCCGATGCCTAGCATCAGTTGCTAATAATATTTTTCAAACAGTCCCGAGACTCCAGGTGACCTCAAGAGTATCTGCAAGACCAATGGCGATGAGATCCAGACCTCGATTCGGGACGTCTGCGGAGATGAAGCAAAGGATGCCCTGAAGTACTACGCCAGCGTCTGCAAGGATGCCGGCTACGAAGTTGGTTCGTTCCCTCTCACGTACGCAAGAGCTAGGGGCCAAGCTAATCGTACGGCCATAGATACTTCATCTTCCTCGAGCACGACCTCCTCCCACTCCAGCAGCAAGACATCCGACAAAGAGTCCAGCACTTCCGGCAGCGCGACCTCTACCGATGGTGCTAGCTCGACCTCTGACTCCGACTCCGACTCCGACTCTGATTCGGACTCCAGCTCTAGCACCGGTTCCAACTCTGTCTCTGCTTCTGCTTCAACCACCGACAGTGCGGACACCACCACCCCGACCAACGGCGCCTCCACCGACAAGCAAGTCTCTGCCGCCGCGTTTGCCGCAGTTGTCTTCGTCGGGTTTGCCGCTACGCTTTAAGGACGCCTTGCAGGCTGTGTATTATATTCGAACCTGGGCAATTTGATCGGAAATATCTTACATGTGACATACATACCTCGTTAGTTCATGCTGTTGGTAAATTTTCATGCGTTTGCAGTGAAGACAACCAGAAAGTTTTCGAACTCATGACTGCCCGTTATATCTATGGAGAGTTACCTAACCAAGTAAGCAGATATCGTGTCTTGCTGCCTTGCAGAGCCAATAAAGCTTAAACAGTACTAGCCGCAGGATGACACGTAAGTCACGTGAGTGCGTACTGTGCCCCAGTCTTGCGGAAACCCATTAGATCCAAACACGAAAATTCGCGGTTCGATATCCACCCAGAAACGCGTGAGCCGGAATCAATATCTCCCTT